ACAAATGATGATATGGGATGCTTTTGATACAATGTAATACTAGTACATGAAATGTAAAAGAAAATAAAACCTATGTTTGACAAGTGTATTTTAAGAGCATTGGAAATATGGGCCAAAGGACCTTTCACAGAAAACAGTTTGCTTTCTGATTTAGTGCTACCACAGATGAATTGTCTAAAGTTAAATTTTTCTACACTTACCACCACTAACAGTGCGTGGGACATTGTTTTAAATTGACCACAGTAGCCAAAGCTGCTCTTCCTTCAGATAAACAAAGCTTGTTTCAGAAAATCTGAAGCCTACTGATTACAATCCCTTCTCTTTGGACACTGCACTTTAGGCCTGCTTTGGTCATTTGACCACCTTGTTTCCTTCACTGTAATTCTTGAAGTACATTGTATACATACATGTACACCTTGACAAAGCTATGTGACAAAAGTGCCCCATTGTTTTCAAGAAGTACAAAATTTAGTCCATTGGAACAACCTGACAATCATCCCTCATTAAAAACTATGATATGACCCACATAGGCTGCAATAGGAAGAGTGGAAGATTTTTACAGAGCTATAGATGTAAAATAATCATGAATCCATAGCCAGGCTATTTTACTCTTGTATATTTCAGGCCTTGGCTTCCATTTGAAGAACACTTCAGTCAAATGTGTCGTGGTTCAATCAGTCTGGATCTCCAGATGGAGCTGGTAAACATCATGACAAAGCAGCTCCGATTAGGCGACTTTCTGGTAATACACTTGACATAATCTCCTGACCTGAACCAGTTGAGGTCTCGTTGATCAAAGGTCATATTTCTTCCTGTGTAGATTGTGAATCTTTTTAAAATACAGTTGAATACAATTAGCGTGCATTTTTACAATTTTTCTTAAATCAACTGTAAATTTTCAAAGCTTACTTTGCAGTGCAGTCCACATACATGTAAACCTAAAACCCAGCACTGGTCTTGTTGTACATGTACTTGTAAGAATTGCTTAGCCAAACTCTGGCCCACTGTCATCTACAGAGCTTGATATTGTAGCATGAAACTAGAGTTGAAGAGAATGGTCCCCCACAAACCAACTTACATGTATATATATGAGGTGTTGCTAAGTAATATAAAATGATTATAAATTCCCAATTTAATTCGTCACATCCGAAACGTGAAAATTTGTTGGTTTTATTGTCTAATATTTTCATACAGATCTGCCCCATTAACCCGGTCAGTAGTGAGTTGTGGAAAACAGCTTGTGTTGTAGAGGGACAGTTCTTGGGAGACTTTGGTGATTTCAACATCTTGCGGGCTCGTATTGCCTTTCAAGATAAGGCAAGACACGATGTTGTCATCAAAAAGGTATAAAAGGTTGTTTATATTTTATTTGTAAAGTAATCTGGAATATGTGCAGAGTTTTGCCGAGAAAGAAGTGTTAAGCCTTATTCGCATTGAACTAAAAATGTAACAGTTACCATGATCGAGTGCTTCTTCAAATGCAGCTCTTGTTCCTTGCATCTGTTTAAGGATTACTTGTGACCTGCAAAAATTCTCTTGGTCACTTTTAAAACCTACAGTGGCCTTCTCAGAATCTCATGAGGGCGCTATCTGATTGAGTTTGTAATCTGACACTAGATGCAGCTTCAGGAAAGCCCAAAACTGTTCAATTTCTTTTTGTTGTTTTTCGTACGTTGTCAAGTTGTCCCTAGTGTATCTCTAATGTCCTGTACAGTATTATTACATGTATGAGAAGCAATGTAGGTCATACTGGTATGCTTTGACCAGTGCATGTGTTGAAAATGTAAATTCATTCTGACGTGGCCGTCCACATGGGACTTTTCTGCGATGTGAAAATAACAATTCCTCGGCCAGGTTGGTCCTGGAAAATGTTCATTGCAAAAAGTAAAACTATCAACCAACATTCAACACTTTACAATTGTGATAGTTCACTGGCTGTCCATATTGGATTTAATTTTGTCCAGTTGACAACAGTCATTTACTTTTTGGCCATGGGCGGAAGGGGGGGCAGGCAACAGGGACTGTGGCAACCCTCCCAGAAAAGAAATGAATTATTAAGCATCTTTAATGGAGATTGTTTTGTATGAACAGAGCCAGTTTGTTCAGAAAATTGTTTCTGAGCAGCTGCATAATTGTGACCGATGCAGTCAGTTAATGCAAAAGTGCACTTGGGATGTTGCTTACTTGTGTTTGCCCCCCAAAATTTGGGTCTGGATCCAGCCTTGTTTTTTGGCAAGTATTAATAGGCACTGGAGTTATTCAACACTTTTCTGAATTATTTGTAACGTGTATTAGATGAATACACTAATCCACTCTGCATACAGTTACCCTTTCAGTGATGAATACAAGCTGGGACATCTATCAAAGCCTAATGGTGCTATGTACTCATTACCCACGTTAACAGGCTACAGATTTGAGAGAGGACTTATGTACAATGTGCCATGTTGTAATAATGGTGTAGACCGTGTATGCCACAAGGAGAGTGTTGCTTGATGTGACTCTGATATCCCAACTGGCCCATCGAGGCTTTAATTGGTCATTTTTCCATACCCTGTCCATCTCAGGCTTCTCTAAAATCAATCCTAGATTGTAGGTCTGAAGTGTTCAAATTAAATGGAAGTACCGAAATATGTTGCTCTTTTGCATTTTATTCAAGGTTCCGGGGCACATTCTGACTTACATTTGAGTTGATAACTTCAAAGACAGCAGGTAGAAAAGATAAATTCTGAGAAGGCAGTGAAGTTGAGTATTGGAAAATAGTCATATTTAGATGTGAACTCCTTTGAAGGAAGGCTGCCCCCTCCCCCACCCTAATTGTCTGTCATTTTGCCACTCTTTTATTTTTAGGCTCTTTCCCACCCAGACTTGAAAAAACTCTACTTCAATATCAACCAGAAATCTTCACCTTATATCACGCAAAGCTACTGGTGCAGTGATATATCAGGGAGCGAAATGTTAGTCTGCTCAACGTATTATCCAGGTAATAATAGCTTTATGTATTAACTGCTGAGGGCGCTCTCCTCCCGTCATACAATTTATACATAAAATCAGCAGCATTGGTTTGAAAATTACAGGAGTTGCCCAACTTGCCCTTTTTGAGAAAATTAAATTCAGTATATATGCATTTATATAAACATGATTGAAAATAGTCTTAACATGGTAGCTGTACATGCAATGACAGTATTGGTGTTGAATTCATCACAAGTACTTTCACAAGACCAGTGAAAAGTAGCAGGGTTAACTGTGACAGATGACTTGGCTGACGAGATGACTTGTTATAGACTTTCAGGGACTTGTGATTAATTCAACTACACTGTGTAGTGACGTTATGTAGGGTGAAAGGACTGCACTTGGGATGTCAAGAGAATCATGTCCACTTGTGTTGTTGCTGCAGGCAGGTGCTGGCCTAACAAAGCTCAAAGGAAATACTGACACGTGTAAACTTCCTTCATTTGTGTTTTCCAATGGTTTATATTCTGTATGACAGAAGGGCCTGAGGATGACTATTAAATGGGTACAATTTTGTTCAAAACTTACTTGTTGCAGGTAGGGGTGGGAACAAGTCTTGAAATGGAGGAGGGGTTGGAACTGTTGGACAAAGCAATGCCTTTTTGCACTTCTATTAAAATAGATCACCATATGTATTACCTTTCAATCTTATATTTTTGTTTCAATTTAAAAATCATAGAATTTTGTATAAACTACATGTAATTATTCTAATTACCTTTATATTTGTTCACTTCCGATTGACTCATTTATATACAGAAATGGAAAGTTTGCATAATGCCTGGATGGTTCAGGAGTTGACCTTTGACATCTGTTTGACCTTGCTTCAACAAGTTCTTTATGCTGCCATGCACCTTCACTCTACATACAAGATTGTCTACCTCAACTGGAAGTGTAAGCAATCAGGAGAGATTTTATTGATGAAGTGCTTTTAGTGCAGTACAATTTTTTGCTGCAGCTGAAAGCGGTGGGATGAAAAAGATTCCTTATTTGAAAAAGAATTTGGGAAAAATATTTGTGCGATGTGTGCAATAACAGATGTACAAAGCATTATGATTTTTGTCAACAAATGCCGTATGGAATTTGACATTGCTAAGCATAATGTGCAGCTTTTGAAATTTTTAGGTAATTTCTGTCACAAATTTGTCAAGCTAATGGTTTCCTGACACCAGAAATAGACAGTTTGATCAAACAGCTATTCATAGGCCTTATCTGCTTATTATGCAAGTACTCTCTCAACTGTGAGGAACATTTTGTTTACACTGAATCCTGCTATGGGGGATTGAACCACAGCGAAGCAAACTGTAAACAAACCTTGTTTTGTTTACACTGTCTTCTGATCCTGCTTTCATCAATCTTTCACAACAGAAAAGTCACTGAGTTTTTGTGCACTGTACTATGGATGCAAAACTCTGTGCTTTGGTTTAGGCTTCTAGCTATGCTTACAATTTCATTGCGACTTTGTCACTGGTTCTATGGCACATCGAGGGGTAATTGCTATTCACTTTGCTTTTGTTTTATACTCAATATCACATCACTGTTCCACAGTTGCCTGTCTGTGACAAAACTTTGCTGTCACCACTGCCCTTACTAGATGCCTTGACTTTGAACACTGACCAAGCCAAACTTTTCAGGGCATGGTTTGCTTTGTTTATAGACTTAAAAAAAGTGAAGAGACACAGACCTAACCAACTGAATAAAAATATAAATAAATGCTAATGAAAAGTAGAGATAGTCCAAGGTAGCATTGCTATGCACATGAACAAAAAACAATGGGTGTGGTGCTGCTGTTCAGTTGTAAAGTACCCATGTGGATAATGTACATTACAGCTGCAGAGAAAGTACCAATCACTCGTTTACATTGTGCACTAGACTTTGCGGGGACTAGCCGCTCTCAAATGAATAATGTTTATGGACTTTTGGACGTCCAAAGTCAACTGCGCCATACAAACTGGATATGTTTGTGTCAAATTGCAGGATCAGACCCACCAATTAGCAGGTCTGATCTTTCCCAAAAGGAGAATCGAGAAAGGAGGATCAGATTTGGATCAGAGCCTGATCCACTTGGCATTTACACTTGTTGTTGATCTACCTGCAATCCTCCTTGGTGGATCAAAACCCCTTTTGATCCCCTTGCAGAATCCAGTGTAGATGTAGTCAAATACAGCGTTGAGGTTGACAATCAAGCTATTTATGCTAGGTGTCTTGCCTCCACTGCAAGAACCAAGAGAGTTTCAACGTAATTAATGTATGCTGTACGTGTGCCAGACATGCACAAACAAGCATGCTGTTTCACCTCACGTCAGATTGTTGCTTAAAATCTCTTCCTGGGCTCGAAATTGCCATTGAAGTGCTCGTGTGACACAAGTGAAATCTAACCAAATGCAAGTTTTCCTCAACTCAAGCTTGCCCTGTGCTCAAGGTGGAAAAGTACCAGTATGATATGAATGAAACCAAAAATAAGTTGAACAAAATCATTCTACTGTAGCTTGTCTGTCTGTCTTCTGTGTTCCAGCCACTGGTAGATTGGAATACCACAAACAAATCCATATGGTGCTGATGTATACATACATGTACAGTGTAGATTGCCATGGACATTGTTTTGCGGGTTGGGGACCAGACATACTGCTGAGTGATGTATAACCTCGCTCCCTCCTTACTGATATATACAAGTCAGTCGTTGAATGTATAACTGAAACTGTCAGGTTGGAGTGTGCATTGCATGTGGACTCGGAGCATTTTTTTTTACACATACACACGTTGACATCATTTTGCAGTGAGTTTTTTAATCACAGTATGGTGGGAAATTTGTTGGTGACTTGTTCAGTTTTCATCTTCATGAAACATTCACCACCAAAACACAAAAGTCCGCACTCTTTCCTTGGAACTGAGGGGATGTGTCCAAAACTGAATGCCCAGCTGTTTCCCTCAAAAATTAGTGCAAGTTAAACTTTGTTTGCGCAAGTTGTTTCAAATGCTAACTTGCACATGGCACAAGTAAATGTTTTGGCACTTTTGATCCCTGCTCTTATATGTAGAGTTCATTATTGTCTGTCACCTTGTCTTTTCTCATGAAAAGTGAGGGAGGGGGGTGCTACATCATTAATCACTAATCTCAGTTATGTATTTAACCATCTGGATATCCCATGAGGTCCATTGGATGATTAGGACATACCCTGTGTACATGCATGATAAGTAACGCCAACAATGTCCCTTTCCCAACTGAAGTCCAGTGTAATGGGCTTTTTCAGTTCATGTATTGATAGTTGCTCTCATTATAGGAGCACCAGTAATTGTCTAATGGTTGCCAGTGTCATGGATGGTCATTCTGACACTCCTAGTTTCCATGTGTAAAAGGTTCCAATGTGCTATGGGATGGCCGGACTACTGGTGAGAACATCAAGCTTTGTAACTTCAACAAGGTAGTTCAGATAAAGCCTGGTTGTGTGGTGCAGTGTCCTGCCAACATCATAGAGTCCTTTGATCCGTGCTTTACTGCACCCGAGGTAAGTATCCAGACAATCTGTCATTTTCACAAGTCAGGAGTGTATGAGACTTGATCGTGACAACATCAATAGTCTACTTGATGTGCTTGTGTGTACTTAGGAATGTTAATGTTTTAATTATTTGTAGGAATTCACATTCCTATTTTGTAACTTTCAAATGTGCCAATGCCTATGCTGCCGTTGAACATAAGTATTACTCCCTGCTTGTGTAGTGACTATAGATAGTTATTGAAGCTGTTAATCTATTTCTCATTAAAACTAATTATGCATGTACTTCCATCACTGTACATTAACCATTGCCAATCTATGTAAAGTTTAGGACACCATGAAGTGTTTCAGGTCCCTGTGGTACCTTGTTTCTATACCCCACGGCCCTCATGTTTCATTAACAAGGTACCAGGTTTGAGCCCTGCATTGACTGTCTTTCCCATTTTTCTTTTGTTTTCGTCAAAGAAATCCTGCATTTACTTTCACACTAATTTTTGTTTAGATTATCATCCCTTGGAAGATTTTTGGTTTTCATAGGAAATAAAGTCTAAGATCTGTGTATTACAGACTGATTTGATTCCTGTGTCCAATGCTGCAGGTTGATGCAATAGAAGTAAACAGCAACCAGTCTAAAATGCCATACATGTAACTATAGTCACTGCATTAAATTTATGTGCTCATTTTGAGAAGGGAGATGACATTATGATTTCGTGCATGGCTGTTTGTGCTCTTGCTTAACCAGATAACTTTTTCAACAAATTTTTGACCATTCAGCAGAAGTGAACTCATACACAGCAATCTGTTGTGCATATCAGATGAACAAATTCAACATAAAATAACCAAGCAAAACAAATCAAACAAATTTCCCAAACTAAGCTGGATGGCTGGAAAACTTGCCATTGCTCAATTTGCCATGGTCAATACAAGAAATTCACAATGCTTTCTTTGAGGTCCTTGAATGCTGGTTTATCCATTGAGAATTCAGAGAATTACTGTCGTATTCCAAAGAAATGAGAAAAAAATGACTTAAAATGGTGGGCAGAGCCAATTGTATAACCGTTTTTGGCCAATGATAAAATGGTGAATGAATAACAGTAGTTAAAACTGAGATTTTCCATGTCCGAATTTTCAACAGTGCTGAACACACTTTGCAGCCTTACCGCATTTCTGTGGGATTGTTTATACATGTACTTATATTTGGCAGAAACCTTGCTGGCTAAATTCTACATATGGTATCCATTTAAGTTTCACACTTTTTCATAAGATCAACTAACCTGACTGACTGTAGATAGAAGTCGAGATGGAGTCAGGATTAAAACATGTATTTTGAAAACGTCATTGCATGAAGCTTTCTCATCCAACTGGACACTGCTGTTTAATGCTAATTTATTGCATTGTTAAAATGTCTTCCTCAGGTGTTTTGCAGGACTCCTCTGTCTTATAATTCGGATGTATGGGGTATTGGCTGTCTGTTGTATGAGATGCTGTACAAGAAATCTCCCTACCAAGACCACACCCACCTATCTCCAGCAGAGATGAGACAGTTGGTGAGCTTTTGTGCCTATGTTGCATGAGAAAAAACAGTTTAACAGGCCAGTTCCAAAATGAATATTTCTTGTAGTACATTATATGGTACGTACAGTATCCATTGTTTTTAGAATGGGAGATGGCAACTGCATTCTATGTTTAAAGGTCTGTTTATCAGTTTTGTAGGAAGACTCAAGTCTGGACTCACTTTGACGCACTGAGACGTTTTTTGTGAACTTGGACTAGGGCCTAAAGACTGATTGACTTGATCTGAGTCTTACACAAGTCCACCCAAAAGACTCTTTTATCATCATCAGCACCCTTTTTGATGCAAAACAAGGAAATGAATGGGAAGGCTTAAAACGACACCTTTGTATACTGTTTCCAATTTATGAGGGGTCATCTTCTATAAAACATTTTTATGTCAAGTAACGTAACCTTGCCTTGCATTCTACTTCTTTATGATGTTTATGTGGACACATTAATCAAGTTATAAAATTATTCCTAACCTTCTGTATTTAATATTAAAATATGTATGGCAAATTTTGAAACCTGTGTGTGGATTTTTAGTACAAATTTGAAAAAAAATATTTTTGAGTACCCAGACAATCTGTGCTGGTATGAAATTCTAGTGCAACGTCAGTGTACACCATCTGCTCTTTACCCATCAAGTGAAGTTCTATGCAATATTGATTACATGTTGGCAGTGGTAACTCAACTTGAAATGAGTTCATGGGTTCAATATTCATAATATAGGAAGCGATAGTGGAAAGGTCAACTATCGTGAAATTCGACCAAAGCATCAGCACATCGTAATCCAACATTTAACATTTATATGCACCTACTATGTGGAACAGACTTCCAATATGTTTGAAAAATCCCAATGAATTTTAAGGTTTAAAAGCATTCTTTTTTTTGTTTTTTCATAGTTTTTATGAAAATTTTTATGAGGATTAATGCCTTGTTAACCAGAGGTGATTTTGATGTTTTGTAAAATGTTTAAGAATAATTAATATTCATGTATGAATTAAGAATACAATTTTTCTGATACTTGGAAATGCCACTCTTTGTTCCTTTCTTTGAATTTCTAATTACTTGATCATACATGGGCCATTTTCTTCGGTGTGTGTAGTACTCGGTGTTTGCTGATACTGTATTGGTGCCTATGTTTTTGTACATGCATGCACCAGAACATAAGTTTGGTTTATTAGAGGACTGGGACATGGACTAGGATTTTCAGACTCAAACTTAAACTAGTAGGACTCGGACTCAATTGTGTTTGGCTCTAATAGAATGCAGTTGATGCTTTGTGCCAAAATGTTCAGGATTAATTTGTTCTGCTCTCTGAATTCTTTTACATTTAAGGTGAAACTTGAGCATTTTGGAAAAAAAATGTGTGATAGACACATAAAGAAACATTGCGTTAACCTTCATGCTATGGCCATGTCTGTTTTTTCCTATTAAAATTATCTTGTCAAAATTGACAAAGTGTATTGCAAATGCAAACCCTGGGATGACATCATATGCTACGACAGTGTGCTGTCAGTGTTACCTTCTGAAGCATCATTCCATCCTCCATTTCTTGTCTTCAGGTACGTGATGATCAGATCCAACCCGACTTACCTTGTGATAATAGTCAACTCCTGGCACTTCTCTGTGACTGCTTGCAGAGGAAAATGTGTGAACGTTTAACAACAGAGATGTTCCTAGAGAAAGTGGATGATTTGCTGTCGGCCAAGACAGCAGAAGCAGAGAGATGATGGACACGTACATCAGCGTCTCTTGTTATGATGCCTCTTGATAAATTTCTTCAGACAACATGTATTTCTGACTGAAGTGCCATTGGCCATTAGGAAACTGTTTGGCCACTGAACTACCGGTGCAGGCTTGCTAAAGGCCATTATTTTTAGGGGTTACAATGGCAAGGAAAGTTTGTTGTAAAAGTACCCTGCAGCTGGAGATTAAAAAAAGATAAAATACATGATGTTCTGACACTGATGTTGCTTTAACACAAAAGCAGCTGAGAAGGGGGTTAAACTCTACAGGTTCTTCATGAAATTAATATTGCAATCCATTTTTGTGTTAGGCCTTATTAATGTAGGGTAGTGCATTCAAGGCACCAGGGTGCCATAATTGTTATCTCTAATTTGTAATACATGCATGTTCAGAGTGCTCATTGGTGCATCGTATTTGCCTCGAGTTGAAGCACACCTTTACTGGCAAAGATGAGACAGTGTAGTGGGAAGTTTCAAAGCAGGCTTGTGCATGTGCCCAGCGCACACGTGGAGACCATACGTTCAACTACAAATTGGTTGGGCATGCTCAGCATGCCTGGGCCAAGTGCCTGGTTGTGAGCCTACACAGTGTGAGTTTCCACCAACTCACTGTCATGTCATTGCTATTTAACAACATCCTCCCTTGTTCCCACTCGTATCCAGTGGCGTAGCTACAGCAGCTGAGGGGGCACCTGGGGGTGCACCATTTTTTTCTGGGGGCACTGAAAATAAATGAACAAGGTATATATATTTTTTGTCCATTTCAAAATTTCAAAGGGGGGGGCACCCGGGGGACACAAGCCTCCATCAGGGGGGCACATCCCCCCCCGTAGTTACGCCACTGTTCGTATCAGATAAGGTACTTTGATATTTACAGAACACTTGGCTTGATTGGAATAAAATGAATTGGATATCTCAAGACGTAAAGGTATCCAAATTGGGTTCAATCAGCCTTTGCAGAGCTGAGATCTCAAAGTGATGGAATGGGAAGGATGGCAAATCTACCATCTTTCATTTGGCTGTACAAGAAAAGGGGCTCCAGGAGAGTTAAATTAACTTTGCTTTGTCACACTAGGGTCTCTAGTTGGGTAAATTTCATATGCCACTGTTTGTGTAGATGCTCCTGTACATGGACAGGATAGGAAATAAATGGTTCAACTCTTAAGGAAAAAAGTTTGTCACAGGGTCCAAGAGTATTTTATGTATTTCTGAGTTAGAATCCACCAAACACGTTGAAATCCATCAGGTAATCTACCGTGAATATTATAAGCTATTTTGATGGGGATGAATGTATTATATTCAAAAAGGTGCAGATTTCTTGCATTGTTGTAGGTGGGGGCTAGTTCGTGGTAAAAACATAACTTCAAAGAGTTGTTAAAGGTTGGTAAAGTTTTGTGATTTTTTTCATTAACAAATACGATGAAATAGCACAGTTATTTGTATCCTGCATAATTCTGCCTAACCGAGGTTTTTGTTGGGTTCTCTGTTGTAATTTGAATCGAACAACTAATATTAAACAACTATTTTAAAGTTTTCTTAGTTTGCTTATTACCTGTTGTATAGTGATACCAAGTCCAATGTACGAATTGCTTTCTTTGTAATATGAAATGCATCTACATGTAAGCTGAAACTTAGTTAAAACCTTTGTCGGTTTATTGGGGTTCAGATGGTTACATTGGTAGAAGAAGGTTATAATTCGATGACGTTTTGTCTGTTTTATTTTGGTCACGTATTTACGTTGAAAGACGTCTTGCTGTGTGGATATTAAAAGGTGGTTGTATCACATAGCCAATAAATGTCTGTTGTAAAGATTGACATCTTGTCGATGTGCAAATAAGGCAATGAATGCTGTCTTAATTCTCCGGAGAATGAATGCGACTATAATTCTATTTTAATTCCCGAGCCGCAGGCGTGGGCATTATCAGCGTCCATTCTCCTGCCGGTCTGAACGTTATTTTAAGACCGAACAAGCGCAAATATTTTCTCATTCATAAATATCTTTTGTCAGAAAGTCAGAAAAGGTTAAAAATCTATACACTTCTAACGACTTTTTTCACCAATTTTCCTTTTTTTAGCCACCCTTCTAGCCATTTTGTGGTATGTGCCTCTGCGAACTGGTACCGTCAAAGACCAGCCACGTGACTGGCTCTCTACCAATACGAATGGCTCTCTCTCGGGCGTTCGTGAATATAGGACGATATCCAAGACAATCACCCGCAAACAGACATGCATCCCATCACGGAGATCAATAATATACTGAAGAAACAGGAGAGGTCCAGAACGGTGCCCTGAGTGTCACCACTTCTCAAAACTGAACAGTTTGGTCATTATGTTAGGGATGACTCTAGGTAAAGATACTTCAGACACATGGAAAAAACGACTTGAAACCAGTTTGTAAAATTCGGCTTGCGTACTTTACAATTCCATATTATGTACACTATTTACAATGATGTTAAAGTTTGATGAATAATCGGTAGGCCTACAATGGGCCCTTAAATTTGAAATAATTGTCCTATGACTTACTACATGTACTTTACTCTTCTACTAGATTTCCGAGAGGACCACTTCATCATGGAAAATTGGTAACTTCATTATGTTGATCAAATATAAGTCCCTGATATGTGATTACTCCTTCAACAAGTAAAGATGGGAATTCCCACTCCGTAACGGTGCATTCGGCCGATTCCGTGGCATTCCAGCCAGGTAACAGAGTCTGGCGTATTATAGTCTCCTCTCAAGGACAGCTTGACTTCAGGTGTTAGACTCCCCGGAACTATCGTACGTACACATAGAGTGGATGTAATAGAATTCTGAAATCCCAAAGGTTACTGCCATCTATACAAATAAATTCAATATTGTCATGTGCAAGTTTCATGTAAAAGCCGGAAATTACTCAAAAGTTTCCATTGCACATCTGCGTAGGCCAAAGTCACAATGTTTCTTATTCAGTTAAACTGCATTGCGTTTGAAACAACATATTTCAATTACGTTCGCAATTGTCATACATCAAATAAAGCTCATACTGATCTGCAAATCATGCTCATGTATGGTCAGTCCAATAATTAACACAGGGTATTTTTAATTCAAGCAAACTACATTTCAACAACAATCTCTTAGAAGACAAAATATTCAAATTACGGTTATTTCAGGTAACATTATTCAACGATATCTTGGCTGAGTGTTGCAATCTCTGGGACTGGATTCTGAAGGATGGTGCTAGCTCTGTAATACCTAGATCTGACGATCCGATCGTACCGGGACTGGATTTCTCCCGCCGATCGTTATCTGCTGCTTCAGAGACCTCAGGAAAGTTCGTACCGGTCACTTGCAAAAATTCTCAGCTCACACACTTGATGTTACCGCCTTGGAGATCAAAATCGTTCACAGACACTCTTTCTAAGATCAAAATCTACTCCACCCAGAACTCATGAATATAAACAAAGTGAACTGGGAACAAAAACGCCAGTTGTAAATACAAACAAAACGCAAATTTAGTTTAACAATAACCATGGCCGGGTGGAAGTTACGTAAGCCCGTGGTAACTACAGACGCACCACTCGATCGCGTGCTAACCTATGGCGATCGGGGATTTTTACGCGGGCTGAAAATCGTTCCGCGGGAAAAATTTTCTAAAACTTTATTTGTCAAGCCGAATTGGCGCTTAACAGGACTGTTCTATTTACCATAGGCGTTCCACTGCGAAAGAATGCACGATAAATCAGACGCAAATTCAATGAACAAGTATAACTCTGACACCGGGTTACCCCAGACGACAGTTCGACAGGGGTTGAAGATGCGTCTTGAAGAACAACCATTTGATGCCTTCCAGTGATGCAAGATGAGATCCAGGTAAGTAACGGACCTCAATGCCGAAATAATTGAGCTTATGAAAGAGTCTGCGGTGAGGAACCGTGTCAAAAGCCATAGTAAAATATAAAACAATGGCATCAACCTGCTTAACAGACTCGCTAGATTCCCAAATACGATGAACTGTTGCCAGAAGTTGAGTTCCACAAGACCTTTTACTCTAAACCCATGTTGGCATTGATTCAAAGCAGTGGAAACAATCAAGATGTTTCATGACATGGCTGTAAGTTATATGTTCAATAATCTCGTAACATACAGAGGTTAGAGAAACAGGCCTGTAATTAGATGGAGAAGTACGACTTCCCTGTTTGAAGAAAGGAGCAATATTTGCCATAGACTGCTCAGCTGGAATAAAACCAGTGACGGAGGAGACTTTGACTTTGTAAGCACAGGAGTTATTTCTGATGCACATCTTCAAAACAAAGGGTGAATCCCATCTGGACCAGGGGCCTTGTGTAGAACCAAACTGTTCAGAAGTTTAAAAACACCATCTGTCTGAATTCGAAGTGGCGGAATAGATGCCAAAAAGCTTGGGAAGTGAAGCAGAACCCTCCCTGGTAAACGCAGATCTATATTGATGAGTAAGTCCACAAAGCAGAGATGCCTGTTGATTCATGACGTCTGTTCTTTAGGAAGAACCAGAATTTCTTTGAATCCGTACAAACTGATTCAAACACTGTTGTGGGGAGTTAACTGTGATCAGCTTTCCTTAATTCCCTTCTGAACACATTTTCGCAGATGACGACATCTATCCCAATTACGATGAGTAGGGCCTACGTTTTTTTTTGCTGTGTGGAGGGGCCCTGTGTTTTTCCTCCGGAGAAGTCGTTTGAGAGATTGAGACATCTGAGGGAGATTATGCCTGGAGCTCTGACATGCATCCATACCTGAAAGAATAGCCAACTTGAATATAATTATGCCAATTGACCTCGTTTTTGCAGCAACCAAGAATGAATCCGCAAAGTCAGCCATGTGTTTTTTTAAAGCTTTCAGTGTTAGTCTTATGGAACTTGAATATTTTGCGACGTGGGGCCTTTTGGGTATAACTGTTGGTTTAGCATGAAGGATGAAGCAATCAGATATCCCTGGACAAGTACATGCAATGACTGGTGGGAAGGCTTGTGGATTGGTGACTATAGGAGTAATTGTAAAACATGTAGCACTTGTCTGATGGACATGGTTGACCTCTCTAGGTAACTGATGAAAGGAGAAGTCCCCAATGAAGTCCAGGAAAGAAGCAATGTCACTGCTGTAGACACAATCATCAGGTGATTTCCTTGTTGGAATTGTCCAACCAATGTGCAGAACACTGAAGTCTCCTCCTAGCCATATGTTAGTATTCTTTAATAATGTTGTCAATTTTCTGGAGTGACTCATGGAGTTTACGAAGATGCTCAGCACCTAGCTTTGGTTGGCGATAGAACACACCAATTAAAACCGGCTTGCTGTTAACCATTTGTAGTTTAACCCACAAAACCTCTGCATCGACGTCAAGTTCAGGCAAATGTGTAGCAATGATTTTATTCCCTACCGCAATAAGGACACCACCTCTAGCACTTCCTTTGTTGGTCTGAATATGATGGCTCATGTTCGGAAATTTTACTAGCAAGAGCTTGTTTTTTGTTTAACAACCCTTGTAAATTCAGTGGCATAATGCAGATCCCGAAATATTTTGTTTTCATATGATGAACACGATGGTTGTCTTTGTATCCATTTTTAGCATTTTTGGGGCATTTATTTCTGCCTTTAGTGATGGGGGATGATGCAATGACAGGCACACCGATGTCCAAGTCACAATCATCAGAAATTTTCGAAAGTGAAGCAAATGAATTGTGGTCTGAAACTGAATTTCTCATAAATATTCAGAAGAGAGATAAACTAAACTGCGGCATCCCACAGTTATCGCAGGTCCAAGAGCAGGAATTATTGCCCAACCGTCAAAAATAAGTGCTTGCCCCAGGCTCTGGAGCAAACACCACAAGGGACTGCGGTTAGGGTGAACATCCCCAGATAAGTCTAAAAACATAAAGGATGAGTAAATCTGAACCAAATAAGTAAGATTACCCAAGATGGCAACTGGAGAATGGCCACGGTAGAACTTCATCAAAACCTCGCAGAACGTTGACACAGAGGTTTTGTCCATCTTACGGTCACGTTTCTAGGATTTTGTTCAAAACCATCCAGTATACATGTAGGTCTTGCAAAACTGAGTGGAATCGAAAGAGTGGAGTCTGGGTAAATACCATGGTAAGTAGGCCTATGTCCCCCATCCATGCAAGCCGATGAGGCCCAAGTCAGGGTTGTAAACCGACAGAGTGCGATGTTCCCAAATGGAGTAAAATGAAACGGGACTAAGCACAGTCTCACCTTGGGTTTGACAACTGAACAAATAAACGCACGGTGAAAGACCATGCACAACAGGGTAGTACTACTGGGTTAGGAATTCAGCCATCGTCGGAAGAGGCAACGCTGTGAGGCACTCCTCTTGCATGTTTGGAGGGCATGATGCCAAATGTTGAATCAGCGGCCATATTAATTTATTATAGCCACACCCAGACGCCCGCTGTCGGCCTATGTAGAGTATGCAAGGCAGGAAAAGCAATCCACTTCAATCTTCAAAGTAGAGCATCAAAAACGAGTTAAAAATAAACTAAAACGACAAACACAAGTTAAAGTAGATGGTTTAAAAAAATTAATAGACGAAAGATGCCTAGATAAAAAGCACAAAAAAAGAGAGTGGAGCTCGGTTAAAACACATCCTGCCCTCTTGACGACCTCTGAGCACCATAGATAGGAGAGAGTGAATGTTCATTTTTTTGTCGAGTATATTTGTCCTTTGCTTCCTCTTGAAACCGGAAGTGCCTCGTAATTTCAATATGGTAATGACACGAACTTGTTTCAAATGGTGTTAATCTCCTGAAAGATACTTTTGTTCCAAAAATTTGTAACGATGACGTCATGAAATACTTGAGCGCCCTTTAGCAACAGGTGGAAATGTCATACATGTGTATAAGTTCGAGGCTGATGACGTCATCAAACGAGAATTTACTATGACTAGACCTCTGATTTTTGAAAATTGCTGTCGCCAACAAAATCTGTCCTGTTAGTTATAATCTTAAATTGCCTTTTATAGAATAAGCATTGTTGTTGGCCATGGCAGTGAGTTTTTATTTTTGTTAGTGAGGTTGACCCGCCGAAATTGTAAGGAAAAATAAAAACAGTAGTATGTTGCTTCCGCAGTGCTGCATACGTGCCTTGAGCTTGTGTTATGTGTCTGTTTTCTGGCCTGCGCGGAGCGGCTGCTTGTACATCGTTACCAACACAGTTGCGTAATTAGAGCTAAATTGGGGGGGGGGGCACCCAGGGTGCACACATTTTTTTCAAGGGGCCAACATGATAATAGACTGCGACTGCATTTCAACGGAAATTATTCACTGATTTCAAATGGGGGCGGGAGGACTAGGAAAATCTGTTTTGAATTTGGTTCTGCAAATAATATTGTTTGGGGGAAACCTGTTGAGAATAAGCACATAAAGTGACGAAAACCGATGAGCGGTTGCAGAACGCTAATTTATATATTCGCTTCCACTGAATTCTTGGCTTAAATTCACGATTTCCTTGGTGATCACTTATAGACACAAACATCATCTGCATCACTTTGTTCCTACTACCATCACTACCATAACCCTCCGCACTGAAATTATCGAACATTTTTGACAAATGTATCAAAACAGGCCGTCTCTTGTGAATATAGCGCCCTCTACTTGTAGTGCTATTCGGCTGCGCTTGCCAGCACATGTCACCTGTACAGTGCACCAGCCAAAACAGCAAAACCAGTCTTGGGGCAAGACTAGACCTCTAGTGGCTTCAACCAATCAGGAGAGTTGCGGGTATACCCAGCAAGAAATGAGACCGAGGGGNTTCTCTCTGTCTCATACCTTGCTGCTTATGGTTGCGGGTATAGATTCGTCCGTGTACCTGTTTGCGCGCGCAGGCCATTTCCACTCCATTGTAGTGCGTCTGTGTCCCGCACTACATTATTCCATGGAGGAATTACTCTGTGTTCCACTCGCACTCGGGTGATGACTAGTGCAGCCCAAGGACATCAGAAGATTTGTTCTTCCGATGTGTGCAGCAATGCGCAGACCCACGCGCGCGCTTTGTTAATTAAAAAAGACATTGGCTGTTTGAAATAACCGGCAAAACTGGCTCATTGATTCAAACCTGAAAAAATAAACTTATGGACCTTACAGCCTTGTTTCCTTATCAATGTAAAGAATCCAACGGTTGTTTGCTGCAACCTACCCTGGAGATATTTTTCCGACTTCCATTACATTCCTACGATATGACATCACGATGACGCCACCAGGTGAATTTATGTAGATATTTCAATTCTTGAAAGTCTGAAATTACTCGTAGCTCGAACCCAGTGAGGTATGCGGATAAGCCCTCTAATTCTGTTGCCACAACGGAAGAACTCTGTTTTCCCTTTGACTTCTAACAAAGGTTTTAAGAACTTAAATGCTATCGTCTAACGAAACACATGTCTGCCCCATGACTCATGTGTTTGTAACCTGATAGACGCGAATCTCTAGTTATTATTGGACGTGTGGTTGAACATTCAGCGTCGTTACTGAGTTTATTCCAGCAGATGTGAACTGCAGCGCTTTCTTTCACAGACGTATATTTCTGAGATGTTGCATGAATTTCTTTTAACACTTTAATGCGTGTTCAGCTCTGTCACAGCAATACTGGAGTAATAAAAATTACAAGCCCTAATTTGCCTCATTTCATAAAATAAAACAGAAAAGTTTTCAGGTGTAAGGACTGGGAAAGGAGGTATGAACTTCGAAGGAAAAATTAACTTTGACTGCGTCGTGAAGCTGCATTAGAGTATACATCAAGACTTAGTTCTCAAAAATTGTGCGAGACTAATTCTAAAATGCATGTTGCGCAATAGGTCAATGCGTATCAATCATAGCTTGCGAACTCATCTCCAATGACAATTTGTTGTCTGGCTGAGCTATGCTGCTGTGACCATGCGGCCCTCTGTGTCACTGTGACTGTGGATGTAGCATGTCAAGTTATGAACTTCTCTTGTATCCACAACCCTATATACTGTACATGTATCAGTCCCACGAAGTTTACATTTCCACGAAAGTTCGGTTTCGTGAGATATTTGAAAAAAAGAAGAGTAAACAAAAAATCATTTGCAAACTCCTTTTATGGATATTTTGAAGCAAGTTTTTGATATGCGTTAGGGATGCCTTGTTCGCTGTGGGTATAGGGCAGCCGGTCGTTTAGAGGTTTTGACACAAAGGTGCATTTTGAGGTTTGTTAAAAACAGCTACCCTTTAATTCAATCGTCGCAATATTTCCATCTGTGGGAATATTCCTTGGCAGCATCATTAACTTTGGTAGAAGACGAAAGTATTGTGTGTTACAATTTTGAAGTATTTGTTATATCCAACTGGTGCCTTCATTTGCATCACTGACAAACCGTAACCCATACGCACCCGTTTTCATCGTATCGATTGTGTATGTTGCTATCCTTACCGTTTTTATATTTTCTTCGGTCAGTTATAAATATATACCTACCTTGTCCGGTTACCCAATCTGTGTTTTGCTTACTTAAAGTGACGCTGTTGATGCAACTCAATATTCATCCTTGTACATACACGTATATACAACTGTTGATTCGTAAACCGGCCAGTTGACACTCCTGATTAGTGGACTAGATCTTCATCGTCCTTCATCATTATGGTCTTATGCACTCACAAACCTAAAGTTGTCAACTTATCACTATCTATCTGTTATACATTCGTATACTCTTCTTCTGACACCCCTTTCCTTTTCTTTTTCGTTTTCTTAAAAAGGCCCACCTTAATAGATGGCTATTGTCTTGCAGATCTCAGAGAGCGGTCTCGATAAACAGACCTAACCATGGGTTAACAAGTGGACCCTAACTCTGTGGTCAATGATCCAACTTAAAATTGAAGCCTGACACTTCTATCACTCTGCGTGAAGCGGGTCATGTTGGTCACTATTACCATTGTGTATCCGTCTTGTAGACCTATCGGGTTCGTAATCATTGGCAATAGTTTACAATAGCCTTGTATTCATAGGTAATTGCTCCCTTATCGCATGTTTATCTTGTTAGTAAGATGTAAGTTCGTGCGTCGGGTCTCTCTGTGGACAGATCGCTTGCAAGTTGTAAAGCAGCGACTGTTTCCTCACTCGACACAAATTAGCAGATAATAGTTGAGAATACCTTCGTAAAAGTCCTACTGGTCATTTTGAACTCTTCATTACTTATGCCAAAGTTCATATCCAGCTTGAGCGAAGATAGATATTTGACACTGAACATAGTTTTTATTTACATAGCACTCAAACTGGGTTTTTAACTCGGTAACTCTGAAATCATTTGCAAACGGTTGATTTTGAAGGAACGCACAATCACATTGACAGATTGAAAATCTGGATTTGGTGCTATGAGTATGGATAGTACTCAAATTATGCTTCAATTCTCTCAATACATGGATGATTTTAAATTATTCCAGGAACTTTAAAGAGCCTCATGATGAGAAGTTCGAAACATTTTGGAACAGCCGTTGTGGGTCTTGAGTTGCTAACAGCGCGTGCGTTGTGTTTTTATCAAGTTACGGTATCAACGGGAAGACTTTGTAAATCGTCAGGTTTCGATAACAGTCGTGGGTAGGGGTTTGTAATCATGCAGTAGTCCATATCATCAATTTTTATTTCTTCCAAGGACAAAGTCGTAAATATATAGTTGCTCCCAGTAACAAATGAGTTTGATAATAACGGTGGAATTTATGAGGCTCGCTCGGTATCGAAGGTGTGAGTTTATGACGTATCGAAATGGGGATGTTGGATGGTGTGGTCTGGTGTGCGTTTTTCTGTACATAGGTATGTTTTTGATTACTTTTTAGTACGACGTATACCTTATGATTTGTCGCTGAATAGTTGATGAAGCTACCACTGTAAGATGAAAGTGTCTGTCACTTTGGCGAGGTAAAAAATCAAACATTGCATTTACACCTCAGCCTTCTGACGAACTTCAAACATTGGAACAACACCTGTAAGCCGATTTTCGTGGTTATATACACGACAGACACCCGGTTTAGTGGGAACCCGTGCAGTTGCGCCAACTTGAAGAGAGCCTTCAGGTAACTGTCAACTGGTGCCCTTTTCGAACAGCCTTTGTGGAAGTCGTCATATTTATTCCATTCTTTTCGAAGAGTTCAGACGGATCATAGAGCTTGTACACAGAACTCTCATTTTATAATTGATAGCGCTTCACAGAGTTTCCCCCCTGATGTTTCGTTAAAGTTGCATCTTCCTGGATTGCGTTAACGCTTCGAAATGAGAGTAAGGCGTTGACATTTCGCTCGATAATAATAGCGTGAGAGATTCGTCATGCCATCAGCGGGCGAAACCCTTGTTCACCAACCGCACACGTCTCACGTTAATCCCGGTCTCCGCTACCTGTATGAACGAGCGAAGTCCGGAGCGCTTCCAACCATAAATACCAATGCAGCCCTCAGCAGGGCCGCTCAAGAAAAGGCGGCGAAGTACCCGCACGTGAAGAGGGTAGGACCGTACTTACTCGGCAAGACCATCGGAGAGGGTAGCTTTGCTAAGGTGAAGGAAGCACTCCATAGCGTGGTTGGAGAAAAGGTAAGACTCCAATTGTATTGTGTATTGGGAAAGGTTGAGGGCAGAACGCTAACCCCCTAAGGTGTAGGCTGCTTAACAATCACATTGAAATGTGAGGATTGAGAACTGTTAGGGTTAACGCTTGCCCAAGCCGTTTGTAGGATATTCCAGAACTGTAAAGAGGGCCCATATCCCTACCAAGGGAGAGGTAGATCCAAGAGAAGGGTCTAGGCGGGCTGAAGCCTCTCCTCTCTGGTCTTGGTCCTTATCCCTCCGCTGTCCGTTGCGGTTCCAAAACTCCTGGTTCCTTTCGGAATACTTGTCAGTGGTACAGACAAGTAGGTCTACTCGACACAACTGATGGTGAACTCGCTCGGGCTATTTGGTTAAACTGCTACTCCGACTGCTTCCATATTATGAGCCTCTGCGTTCCAGGAAGTGTTGGTGCAAAAGAAAATTGTGTATAGGCCTAACTTAAAGCGAGGATAAAAAAAAGGATAGGTTATAGTTTGCTCTCTGGTTGGTATATCTCTTTGTTGTTTCTTCCTGAGGTAAACAAAAGCAGCTATGGTCTATGATAGTCTGTTGAAATGAAACTTGTTAAATGTTTCCCTTTAATGTGTGAGCACTTATATTGCTTTTCAAAGTAAGTGAAAAAGACATGATTTTATTCCCTCGTTTCCAGACAGTAATGTTTGATTACATTATTTGCCGAATTTACCCTTTGAGTGAACGATTTTTCTTTACAAGTCACTGCTGTGCAGACGCAGTCGGCAACAGGAATGTCACCATTTTGTCCCATTCTTTCTGTAGAAACACGATATTCTATTAGAGTCTGTATAACAGGTTGTTGGAATCATTCCAACAACCTAGTCTACAGATTCTACTTCATGGTTGTTAAAGTGTTCCATGCAATGTGCAAGTCTGTTGCCAGATTTAGTCTGGCTCTCAGGTTGGGTTTGCCTTGTGTCAAATAGGAAATTTTATGGACTAAGACGGGTAAACAATTAATTCAATGATGCGTTTTCCTTGGTCACTGGTCCATTCTAAGTTCTTTGCGAAATACTACGCTAGTACAGTGCTGCAAATCTTTGCGAAGTGCGACATACAAAATGCACATGATCCCATATGGCTTAAAGGTCGCCATGTAACTTGTCTTGGGCCGTTGTCAGGGGTTGACATGCATTGTTGTCCGCATACAGAAGTTCATTGTTCTTGCGTGTCATTCTACATTCCAGGTTTGGTCCAGTCAAAACATATTTGTCTGTCTCCAATTTATTTTCGGGTCTAAGCACTAGGAGGAGAAAAACAAACCGTTTGACTCAAAACACCCGAGCGCTAATCGAGGTTAACGCTTTCGTTTGTTTTCGGAGGTAAATCCTTTGTTGGGCCCTCGGGTCAAATCCAACTAATTTCTATGAAATGTTTTCAATAATAGTCTGTGAAATGCTTTATCTGACATGTTTTTGAACATTGAACAACTTTCTTGGAAGATCCAACCAGTTTTTTAATTTTTATTTCTGTGACATATTTTTAAAAAAGAAAGAAAAAACCTACACTTTTGGCCGTGTCTTTTGCAGGCCTTCTGTCTGGACTTCCTAGTTTCATTTTCCAGCTATATAGACTTGGTCTAGAGCAAAGTCCTAAGACTTTCATTTGGAACTGTGATGAATGGCAGTGTTTTTAAAATGTAAAAACTGTGTGTGAATAAATTTTACTAAATGTTCTGGATAATGCTGTACACAAATAACAACTGAAGGTATCCACAATTACTTGCGTATCCCGAAGGAAGTGTCCAGGGCCCTTCTGTCAGAAGTTAGGAAAACAAAAAAGAAGAAAATTGAGTATTCTTTGATTGTGTAACAACACAATTGAACCCAGAGTGCCCTCTTCAGAGCATGAAGACCCCAAGTGCTCCCATTAGCGGATGGGGGGGGGGCAACGGTGGCTAAGAGAGAACTTCGATTTCAGAAAACTGCGATTTCAGAGGACTACATAATGTATATGCTATTTCCCTGTTTCCTAAAAGCTCGATTCAGCCACGGAGTTTCCGTAAACACTGAGGCATAGATGCAGTACATTTAAGTTTGTATATTCTTACACTGAGTAATACGGTGGCCAGTACATTGCCAAACAAACTATGCCTGACTTATAAAGAATGATAACGCAGAAAATTATCCAACAGGTGGCTATCAAAATCATCGATAAGAAAGTTGTGCGTGAGGATCCATACCTGCGAAAGAATATGCGACGGGAGGCTTGTCTGCTTCAGTCATTACATCATCATCCAAACATCATAACTCTCTATGAAGTCATGGAGACGGACAACAACTTCTACATGGTAACCATCATATAGCGCTGCTTAATTGACACTGGCAATCATAAATTGAACAGCGTAATGACAAACATAACGATGCAAAAATATGGAAGAAATTATAGTAAAATTTTTCTGAGCTGGATTTTTTTCGTCGGGTTTAATCTCTCAGACCGGATCGACACATTTTCAACTTTCAACCCAATAGAACTGGATTAGCGGTTCTCAGAAAAAAACAGAATGTTTGTTCATAATTCCGCTTAAGGAAGATGTGAGCCTTGGTCTTCCATGAAATATTTTGTTTTTACTTTTTAAATGAGGGGATTGTAGGGTCATGAGATGAAGACTATCTTTCTCAGTCGTCTTAAAACTTTAGGCAACCTGATTTTTTGGTTGTAGATAGATATTATTGTACCGAACACGTCCTGTGGGTCCCCCAGCTCAGAAGTTGCCTTTTCACCCACAATTATCTGAAATCATTTTTAACCTAAACTGTTTCAGGTGAAAGTTATTTCTAAGCTCCCTTAGAGTTTTCAGCTGCAGTATATTCATATTAGTAGTAATCGACGTAAAAATTAAAATCCGGAGGACTCTCTCCGTGTCTCACATTTCCTATTTCTCAGATACTAGAGCTTTGTAGTGGAGGGGCACTTCTTGATCGAATATGTAGCGAGAAATGTCTCATGGAGAGAGAAGCTAGACGGTATGTGAGGCAGATCGTGTCAGCAGTGGATCATTTGCACCAAGCGGGCATTATCCACAGGTGAAAAATGAGTTTCATTTCTAGAGATTTGCCATAAATTCGGGTCTTTTATTTGATTTACACCATCTTCCTCTGATCCTTCTAACATTTTCTTTTTTTTTCAAACAGAGATTTGAAAGTGGAAAACCTACTCCTTGATGGAAACAACAATATCAAAATCATCGGTAAATATGCATTTCATAATCATAAAGGTCAGCTGTGAGAAATCCTCTCAAAATCTTGTAATCTAGGGTTGCGCCATATTTTGTTCGGATCTTGTTTTCCCAGCAACAGTATACCCGGCAAAATATGGGACAGAGGGTACCCCCTACATGTCCAGACCCTATACACACTCTAGACCATTGTTACCTGACACATCCCCGAGATGTCTTAAAAGAATTCCTGAGGTTGCGGTCCAAATGACCAACACAAAAGGGGGGGGTCTCTACGTCCCATATCTTGCTTCAAATATTAGAAAGGTAGGCGTACATGTATATCTTTTGAATGAACATAATCACGCGGTCCACGAATGCCGCACGGAAAGTTGTTTGCTGCGCAATAGTGCAAGTTCACACACAATGCGAGAGGTCTGTTTGTAGTACCATGTTAACGTGGCTCAGTCGGATTCGGATCAGATTCAGATTGATACTGTGATACGTCGGACTTGACTCGGATCGATCAAATTCCTCGTAGTCAGACAAAATGCAGTCAAGCAGTGTATGTCTTTCACTGTTCAACTGCACATCTAACTGCCTGCTATCGCTTGTAAACAGTTGTAAGATATTGCGGTTGTAACGTTTACAGCTTTTACCACGCACGAAGACCCAAACCAAGTTACCTGGGTCCCTGATTTTTTATTTCATATCCTTGTCTAGAACTAAGAAGGCCACCTGTTCTAAATAGTTTTGCCATCACAGAACATGCCGTGTTGGTCAGTAACTAGTTATCTTTAAACATGTAGTTACATAAGTTGACACAGCTACTACATGTAGATTACTATTATTATATTTGTTTAACTACATCCATATCCGCGGGTAAATCGTCATTTACATGAGATTAATTTGACAATAATTTTATGAAGCTTTTATGATGACGTGAAATATTCCACTCCGTCCAGAATCCTGAGTGAATTTTATAAAAGACCTTTATTATTACAAGACCTGCACTTTGTTAAAGGAACCAGGAAATGAATTTTTCTTAGAATCACTCTTTGTGTATTTCAGTACTCTTCTTCCATGTATGAAGACTGTTTAGCATCTTTTTTGAGTTACGTGAACTAAACGCTGTACTTTTTCAAACATTAAAATTGACCAAACTTTTCTGAACAAGTGAGGGCGCTTTTGCTTTGATGTAAATCCAGGAAGACATGGTTCAGGTTGCATGTTTTCATGTTCAATTTGTGAATCCCAAATTTGCTATCTGGGGATATTTCTGTGAAAAGGATTTTCGCTGGATTATTGCCATATATTCACAAAGCAATACATTGCCAAAGAAAATAAAATCTGCCATAGCAGTGGTTAAAAAATTAAAAAATTTCCGTGCACAAATCAGTGCAACATTGAGATTCAGTGCCTTGGATGACATCATAGTTCTGCTCATGAATATGCAAATATCATAAGCATAAAGCCAAAAAGCATCAAAATATGGTTTAAAATTGAAAACCAAAAATTAAAATGGGGTTAATTGAAACGCAAAGATACAATTTCAAGGGTTTTTAGTACAATTTATACTAATATTTCTATTTCCTGGTTCCTTTAACATATTTAGAGTTTTGACAGCCATACTGTTTTTTTTTTAAGTCGTGATTTTCATATGTTCTTATTTTATTTGATTTGGGTGAAGGAGTCCTTGTCGGTTTCCGATTGCATCTGGATTGCAGTGACAAAACAATCAGATCGGCTCGAACTGAACCATGGCGACTATCAGATGCGAATCGCATATTCGTCAGGATCGGTCGTATCCGTCGGATTGAATTAACGTAGGCTGTTATAAGTCTTGCTTCCTTAGCAGCGGCTGCCGTCGTGCACTGCAAATTGCTTCTGCAACTCCAGATGCGTGCCTGCCCCGGATACCGTCGCCTAAGGGACGTATACACACATCCGTAAGTTCTCTGTATCGTTCTCGTTCGAGTCCGCCGATCGAAAGCTATCTCTGTTTGATGCACGTGGATTGGACGTTATGTGGACGGAAAGGTAAGCAGCCGTTGCGCCGTATCAGGAAGATTTAGCGGCTGCCGTTCGCGCCGTGAGGACAGATTGACATATCTTCCAGCCAGTTAGTGATGTATCTGCCAAGTCGTGTAGTCTCAGTACAGTGCAACATTTTTGAAAAACAGTTAAAACGCAGTGGTTGAATCGCCTTGCTGTGTGTTTGTCAGCTCGTAGTGCGAATAGAACCACTTCCATGCGGAATTCCGCTTTTGTTGAATGTGCTCTCAGGGTGCACCACTACAAATAAATTCCCACAGACAGCAATGATAAATCCCCACACTTTGCAATAATTTTAAAAATACTCACAGCTCTCACAGGTGTCCAGGCTGCACAGAAATACGTTGATCGACATGTCCCATTTCATTTTCCTTTCAATTTTCGGGGAATTGACCAATGAATTCTTGAGAAATTTTCACCAGAAGCAGACCACCCCTAAAAAGAATAACAATGTCCCTGCCCAGAAAAGTAGCCATTTTGAAAAACCATCCCTCTGCAAAACGGGGAAATAGTGCCATTTTCGGAAACAACTGCATCCAAATTACTCAGAATTTGAAGCCCAGAGTCCGGGCCAGGGGTTCAGTGCCATATTTCTCCAATTCCTCAATTTCATGGCTCTCAGGACTCTCTAATATAGAATATTTTGAGTCTATAACTTTTATTAATGAGCTCGGCTGACATATTTAGTGCCTTTTTGCGAGGGTGCACTCCTCACAATCACCGAAACACACTACTGTTTTCCGAATTTATTCTGGTTGTACGCAATGGAACTGCAGTATTTGACTTAACCAGTATCAGGCACTGTAATAATGGATGCCTGAAAGTGATGCCTTGTGAGAAATGGGATTCAAAGATGGTCCTTTTTTAGCTACTATTTTTCAGAATAAATATTGTCACGTTTTTCATAGATTTTTCAAGTGTATTCCAGAGACCTAACATAGATATCGATCCCTTTGAAATGCTAGTTTCCTCCCTTTGTCTCCCTAAACATATTGACGCCGCTATCGCAACCTGCCTTTAATATACTTAATTAATTGTCTTGGATAAGAAGAATGTTGTAGTTTATTCTACGTTAATGTAACACTTATTGTTTCCTGTTTCCAATGAATATCAAGTTGGAATTCGTTGGACTCTTATTTTCTTTAAACTTATAACCCTTTCACTGCTTATTTTACTTTCAATAACTCAATCCACTGGTTATAATGATCAACATTTTGGGTATTCAGAACAAAGACCTTAGGCGTTTCAATGTGGTGAGTGCAGGGAAAAAAATGGGAATTTTTCAGAGAAGTGTTATTTTTCATTGTGTTATTTTTTCCGTTCTAGTACCGTTCTTCAAGTGCTGACACTTAATACACATATTTTCAAAATATGAAAAAAATAAACAATAAGGTGTTGGGGAACAGCTAGTCTCGCCTGCTAGATACATCAATGAACCCAGGGATTCCATAAGGGTATATCAACCCCTTCTTTTCTAGTTACAGCAATCAATAGTTACTGTCTTTTAATGTACGGAAGCCCTATAGTGCCATCAAGTATACATTTCCGAAAAGTGAAGTACATTTTTTCAAGTTTGTTTTTTATGAAGTATATTCTTTTCAATTTGGTTTTACCGGATACCTGTTTTCAAAAGTTCGTTCGTTCCAGATATGTATTCTTTAGTTCGTTCTTATGTGATAAAGATTTATACGTGTTCGTTTTTATGAGATATTTTTTTCCATTTTTTTATAAGACATTTTTTCAAGTTCGTTTTTTAGTATGCATAAAAGAGATTCATTTGAGCAATCATGTAGCTAAGAAGTTTCATTTGACGCGTGCCAATTTGCCACTACAAGCAACGAGTTTCTGAACAGTGCCGACTTTTCTTTACATTATTTGATCAAGCCGACACTTTCCGTATCGTGGGATACTACCTCGAATGACCGGTTTGGCAGGACTATTACCTGGGCCAGGCCCAAGTGCAAATATGTACGTGTACATGTAGTCACTCGAGTGTGGTCAAATCGAACGCAGAGGTGTACTTGTAAGAGTGAGCGTGGGGAAAATAATGAGGCGCTCTGTTTGAATATAAACGAATGTGCGCAATTTTACCACAGACGCCTTTTGAAAACTCAAGTAATGATAAAAACAGGTTCTCGGTTAAAACAATACGGGCGATTCACATTAGTGCGCTTCCAAGAGTTTGCAACGCGTTGGCCAATCACAACGCGCGAAATTTGTCGACCCTTTCCAAACGCGCATTGGGTCGACAAATATCGCGCATTTTGATTGGCCATCGCATTGAAAACTCTTGGAGGCGCACTACTGTGAAACGCCCGTACTGAGGTAGGCCCTATGTAGATTTTTAAAAAGAAACTGGTACATTTTATTTGCAGATTTTGGACTGAGCAACCTTGTCGGAATTGGTCACATGAGGGCGGAGTTCCGAGCCACGCAGTGTGGCAGTCCGGCCTACGCAGCACCAGAGATAATTGCGAATAAAAGATACGGAGCAAAAGTGGATGTCTGGAGCATGTATGTAGATATCACCAAAACCATAACAGATCTGCCATTCAATCCATTTTGTTACTCATACTACTGACAATTTTGATAATCGGGGTGAATTCATGAGTTTGGTGTTTTCCATTTGCATCTGTACTTATTCTGTATTCATTTTTATAGTGCCTGTGAGGCTCGTTTTTCTCGTTGTTAGTTTCTTGCAATTTCCCTTCGCAAATTAGATGCTTTGATTCAATGCAGTTTGCCCATTCTTCTTTCTCGGGGGAAACAGATTTCAGAAAATATATTTCCAGTGCTACTGAGCTATGGCCCCTTTAGGATTTCGTTCAGCGTCCTTTCCATGGGGTGTATTCAACATGTATTTGCGTCCGTAGAAAAAATGCCACTGCCTCTAAGGGGAACGCACAATAACTGGGTACACAGTCTAAACTGAACCTCGACGGAATAAAGGCTTAATGTCATCTTTTCCCAAGTGGTTTACTAGCAGTGCGTCTGCTAGATTGATTCATTTCGTGAATCCAGGGCCAGTCTCTTTGGCGGGGGGTACAGTCACGCTGCCGAGAAATCGCTCTTAAGACGCAGAGAGGGGCACTGATGAAAGAGTAAATATTACTGAGCAGTCGGACTGCCATGTCATGCTAACTCCGGTTTGTGTTTGCCCAAATGGGGATAAGACCAAAATCAATCAAAACCACCTCATTTGGACGCTGAAACTTCTTATTGAAATAGTCTGAAATGCTGCATCTTTCACAAAGAGGTCCAATAGAAGGGTATTTTGCTCATCGGTGTTTGTTGATGAAACTTGACACAGAAAGTGAACTATAAGGAGCTTGCTCTGGACGTGAGGAATAACTTCTCCTGGCAGACATTTGGTAGCATAGAGGTACAAGTTTGTGCGTGTATTTTTCGCCAGAATAACCCTGTGCACGGATGTACAGTATTTATAACGCAGCTCGTTTTGAGTCATCGATGCATGTTTCACCATAGACGCTTCTATCACAAACAATAGGCCTAAGCATGTAAAACAAAACTGCTGCAAACTGCTAACTGACTACAGTGACCTACAAATCACAAAACAAGGACGGCCTGACGTTTCGATCCTATAGCAGAATCTTTCTTAAAGGCCTTTGAGAAAGATTCTGCTTATAGGATCCATAACAGGCCTACGTGTAATTATGAATAAGATCTTTAGTGTTTTCAATGGTAGGGTTTTTTGTAACCGCCGCTTTAATTTTTTCGGGAATTATCTTCCGCAAATATAAACGGTAAAGATTTCCTGTGATCGAATGTTACCCTACTCCTGCGACGGCAGTGCACACTACACCGATGGCCCCCATTCTATCACACCATGCACCACGTTAGACATGTGATAGTCATTCATGGAGTACCTAAGACAGTTTGACCATTCCTATTTGTCGAAAGCCGATCAAGTAGCTGGTCAAAATGGTTGATGAAGCACCTGCTCGTGCAAGGCACACACCATGACATGGCTAATGGGGTGAGTGAAAAAAGTAAAAACGTTGAACAGAATTGTTGGAAATCTATGATTTTTGAAGTATTTGAGTTTCCGATTGAACACGTTTATGAATTGGAATAATTGGCAGGTGTCGTGGTCTCACTTTTTAGGCATGCTCGGATTTCCAGGTAGTAAGCCAACACTGCTGAGCGACCCAAACAGCGACCCGAACGTATACGCAGTGAATCCCGTTTTGGTTCACTTTATTGGTGTGCTGAGTTCCTACATCACGTGATCACGGCACGCAGGACTTCGTGCAGACGTCCGTGCGCCTCTGTCGAAGTGGTTTTCGCGGAAATCTCGTTGGTCATGGCGTTAGTCTTGTGTCATGTTTGAACTGAGGAGACAAGAAGAAACGTCACAGAACAAACGGTATCTGCGAAATAGGTCGTATCCTTAAGGGAAAACGGAATTAAATTAGGACCGGCCGAAGTGAATGGACGATGATACTGTCCCTTGCATTTGGCGTGAGCCATTGTAACCTCCTGTTCTCCTGATCTGCTTTGGTGCTTAAAACAAACGTTTGAGATGGCCAAGCACATATTATTCTCTAATTTAAATTTGTACACAGATATGGACCTTTTCACTAATTAGGGCATATTCATTAATACTTAAGACAGTCTCCCTATTCAACAACGTGTTTAACATGTGATAATGCCCGCTGAGAAGTTATGATTGGTCAAGTGTCCGTGTGTACGCGGCTTGCCAAGTCCATATAAGAAGATTTTTTGGACAGCATGCACAAGAAATATACTGAACCATCGACGAGGTGTTCGGAAAAAATGAAAGTAAAATTCTGGAACAAAATTGTTGGAAATCCAATGCAGCCTTTATAGACTTATTTTGACTTTCTGACCAAAAATAGTATTATGATTCATGGGAATAAAAAGGTGTTTGGCCTGTCTTAAACGTAGACCGGCTGAGGAGACGGAACGCTGATGATTCCCTCACGTACGGCTCAGGTATTAGTCGCGTCCTAAACCGGTCTTAAAAAGGCTTTTCCAAGTATCGGCTTCAAATCTGTTCCTCTCCCGTCTGTCTAAATTGTTTTACTCTCTGACTGTAAAGATTTAAGCTCACTAAAAAGTACTGTTTGCAGTGTGAAAATCTACTTGCATACGTAAAATGTTTTCGTTAAAATCGGACCCCATAATTTTATGCTTACAAGCGGTTTTGTAACGGTGAACAGAGGCAGCCGTTTCTTGCCACAAAAACAAGGCTATATAGAGATAACAACATATGGTATATTTTTGGTTAGGTTTTGACCGATTCCGAACAAGTTTTTGATATATTGATAGTGGGAGAGTGTGCTGAGGTAGCAGTTTCAATTCAATAAAACAATCAAACGATTTCTGAAACTTGCGTAGGCTTGGGAGAAAAAAGTATATGGAGGTCCCGGATTTTGTTTGATTTGTTTTTCGCGAGACTTTTTAACTTCCTGATCGTACGCGATTACCTATCGACCAGAGGCATCAAACGATCATCTGGCCATGTGGATGTAAAATTCTGTCCTTGGGAGGAGACAATAAAGCACACAAATTAACGAGAACGTGCCCACTATTAAAGGTCTGTTTGCTGTCGTGAAAGCGCACAGTGATGGACAAATTCTCAGCTCGTAGCCCGTTGTCAAATGCAAATACAGTCTACGTTGTGAAAGTACATGTACATGTAAATAGCCCTTGATCTCTCAGCCACCGTGAAATCGATTAAAGTGTAACCGCTTAGTGCAGGTGTAGGCCTAACAGCCCGTTCCCACTTGATTCACCAATTGAGGGATCTGATCCACCTTTTGCCAATANTCTCCGTCTCATACCTTGCTGCATATGCATGAATCTGGGGAATTCCTTTCAGACATCTTGGGGGATGTGTTAAGTAACAATAGTCCGGAATGTGTATAGGAATTGGACATGTTGGGGGGTACCCCTCGGTCTCATTTCTTGCTGGGTATACCGTTATAAGGTGGATCAGGATCAGACCCACTTTTCTTGATCCTCCATGAATGGTCTCTACAGTAACTTATAAAAGTCGAACAAGAAATGTAGCTCATGAAATCGATTGCTTTATTTAGAGAAGTTCATGGTCTGTTATACTTCGGTATTTATTGATTTCCCGAAACATAAAATGTTGAATTGAATAAGGACGACACATCAATCAAAAATAGGAACATGTCAGCAATAACCTCTTTGGATGTTAGACAACATGGCCACTCGTGTAAATTTTCCTTTCAATGTTGCGGTTATTTGTGAGTCTAGGACTCAAGGAAACTTGAGTTCAAACAGTGGAACACATTTTTTGATTGCGCCTAATGCGATATCTGCTAATGAGAAGGTTCGACAGAATTTGGGAAGGTTTTTAAAATCTTCTTTTCGTACGGGGTTCCAGAGTGCGGTCAAGTCAAGATCTCGCCGCATCTATCTCAATCCATAAATACCGCACGTCGAATTGGAGTGAAACCTCTATGAGTGAAACGTATATGCAGGCGCCCAGTTGAATAAAAAGCGCTATGCACTTCGCTTTGTGTGACATCATTGCAACTTCAGCCACGCCCATGTCATGGTCAGCGCACCCGATTACAATGTATTTTTTTAATTGTAAAGTTTTGAAACGCTTGGTGGCGGCAAACATACCAAACTGGATCGGCTGGTCCACAGATACAAAAACGGATAGACTGCCAATCTGGCGCGTCTTTTGAAAAAGTGTCTAGGTACAAAGGTGGTCGGCAGCGCTTATTTAGTTATGTTCAATGTGGAACGTTGCCTGGATTTGTATTTCATGTGGTCTCAGAATTTGCTTTTTTTTTGCTCTTCAATACCGTCACGTCTTCGTTTCAGATGTTGTAAGCGTGTTTCGAATCTACATAGGCCAAAGCCATATTAAGTTCATAGAGGATTATTGAAAATCGGAAAATAGCTTTATGGAATATTGGAATTCTTCAACTCTGCGTATTAAATTCGATATAACGAGGAGAACATACATAGTCGCTGAAATACGGCATTGACATGTTCTCTGCAACCTGCGCGCGAGTGTTGCGACAAGGCAGTACTAGCCATGTTGTGATTGCAGCTGGGAATAACACGTGAATCTGTGGAAGTCCTTGGCAGGTGGCTGTATGGTCACTTTCCATAGCCACGTTGAAAGACAAAGCCATACATAGTCAGGAACTGTGAAAGTTCGTCCTTATTTCCTTTTATGTGCCTTGGTATAAGTCGAGATGTTGGCACAGGTACCGGTAATAATGAAACAAATTTGTTATTTGAAAAATTTCATCCAGTGAACTCAGAGTAAACAAAAATTCGATATGGAGAAATTACCGATTTCATTCTGGAAAGTCTAGTGATTCTTTTTCTCACTTAATCAAAAGGAATACGTTTCTGAGAACAGCGACCCTTGTGAATTTGCCCCTGGTTTGTGGTTAATTTGATTTCAAAATGATTGTGACAATTCCCAAAGCCATCAAAATGCAGGTACTTTAAATTCCATAAATCATGGTGGAATTTAAGTATGTTATGTGACTGGAAACGTAGTGGCTGTAGGCGGTCAAGAGATGACGAGCAAAAATAGCAGCACACACGGCACGCAAGGGAATTTATGTACAATGAACCTCATAAAATTGCACACTGTGAAGATATGCTGTTTAGCCGGGACGGGAAGGATCAATCTATGATGAAAATGACGAATGATAAGGCATCATTCTGACCAATTACATTGACAAAAAAAAATAATAATTGTTACATCGTAATGTTCAGCAAGTGCACAATCGTCTTGTGCTTTATTTACGGATGGACCGGTATGCGCCTTGTTGGTGTGTACACACGAACACTCTTATCAAAAGTGTGAGTGTGAGTGTGAGTGTGAGGAATGGTAGAAATGAGGAGTTTGGTGAGTCGCCAAAAGCCTCCAGCTTTGCATTAATACTGGTGTGTGAGGCTGCCTGTTGTGCACGTGCGCTTTAAATTAAAATAACAAAATAGGCTGTTTTGGGAGTTTTTCTACCAATAGCGCAACAGTTTACGTGAGGCTATAAACCCAATTGGGACTTTGTCTTGTCAATAATCATGCGATGAGCTCGAAGCCTATGGGGAGCTTTCTATATTTCACTTCTCCCTCAAAATTAAAATTGCCTTCCATTATTGCATTTACTGTCATACTCGACAAAATCATATTCGGCTTGCTATTTTTTTCGATTCTTGCATGGCTTTAGATGTCGTTTTTTAATTTGTTTTTGAAGGAAATAAAATCCAACGATCACATTGTATGATAGTGCAATGTGACCTCTGATTATAGAGATTACAGATATATTGCCAGTGGCGTCTGACTGTCGTCCAGTTATCCCCTCTGTTTGCTATCGATGAGGGGGTGAACCCAATGCTTCATCACACCTCTGCAAAGCTTGGTTTATGAGGTTGCAAGGACCTGTATACATCATAGATGCTTCCTTTCTCTCCCTGTCGAGTACTGATGCAACGTTTGTACGCATACTCTTAAGCTGGTTTCTGCATTCGCATTTCTGCATCTTTATTGGTTTTGCCTTGGTGTTATTCACTCATAGTATTGTAGCCTATATTGCATTCAAACTGTTCATGAACGTAATAATTATGCCTCATTGTTTTATAACTCAGCGTGGAGATCGGGTGCTTCCAGCCTCATTTTTAATAGAAGAAACGTCGAATTTGTCTCGTCATTTCCTAGACACGATGAGCACACCAAACAAACTCTCTAGTACCAAATCGCGATTAATTCACGTAGAGTAAACATATTTATCACCATGATTGCCGCATGCGTGTGGTACTTCTTTTTTAATTACTTCGGAAATGCAGGTCAGTGAATTGCAATCCAAGGTATCTCAACGGTCCTGTTCGAGATCTGTTGAGAATAAAATAATATGCAGGTAGTCCTGCGTCATTTGTGTTATCACTTGACATCAAGTCTTTCTTGTTGAGTTTTGTCTATTTTTTGACTGAACTAAAAAAAAAGCATAAAAAAGCGTCATCTAATTCCACAGGACCTTGTGTTTGGTTGACACAGTTTGTCCCTCAGAAAGATATTGCAGAGCGTGTACACATTCTGTATTGTCTTTTGCCAAAATATGATATTCCGCCACCTCGTCTTGTAGAAATGCCAAAACGTAAATAGATACAGTTACTTTTTGTAGCATTAAATTATTATGGTGATGCTGGTGTATTGTGATGCCATGCCCCCTGCGTAGCTACAGCACATCGCGTGATGCATTCAATGTCACACTTCACGCAAACTTCAAGGCAAATAATACACTTGGCATCTTTCAAATAAACAGACCAGAAAAGGCCAGCAAGACTTTTGACGTAAGCGACTTGCACGTCGTGATCAATATTCACCCACTCTCCTCTTTGCTTTACTTTCAACACTGCTGCATTTTCGCGTGTGTATCGTCAATGATTTTTGTTTTCTGATGTGCAGTCATAGATATGGATATACATGTATATCACGTTGCATACATGTACACGTGGTTCTTCTTGTGCAACTTCTGTTTTGTTATATGCCCAAAAAATTCAAATAAATTTAGCGTTTGCTTTGATGTGATGGAAACTTTGGCATATTGCAGATTATATTTGGATTAGACGCTGAAAAAGACGGGCATTGTTGAACGTTTCTGAACAATCGATATTTGCAGCTACCTGGGTATAGAAAGTAAGGTAACACGTTTGATTTGTTGTGTATTGGACTCTAGCGTAATAGTTTTAAGCCTTTGGCTTCTGCTTATGCCACCATGTTGCTGTCTTTATTGTCTTGTTACTTTGTCCTAGCTCACCAAAGACCCTTCATTGGATACTCAATAATCAACCTTTCTTAATCGGTTTGCTACTTTTATGCTTTGTTCCTCCCTTTATTCCATTCTGTACCTTCATGTTTCCCATTGAGTTAATCATATCATGTTATTCACTAATCGACTTTGTTCTGTAAATGTCGCCAATATGAAATAATTGTATAAACGGTGTTGTATCTGCGATTTCATTGGGAAGTTCAAGATTTCTTGCGATTCGAAAAACACAAATTTGTTTTATTGTGCTTGCGAGAAAGACATCTGGGGACCGAGCAGAAAACATCGGCACTTTGACTGGAGGTAAAATCACTTCCCTGGCTGTTTGAGGCTTTTGGCGTCTACACGCACCACGGGGTTTTGACGGCTGTTTGAGACTCATTTTTCTCTCTTTCCGCGCTGTTGATGCGCGACATTCATTAAGTTATAAGACCCGGGGCGTCTGTTGGAAATTGGCGCCAAATTTATTGCAGGAAGCATTGTACCATGATGAGTGGGGGGCAGATAGAACATGATGCGGGCTGATTTTGCCGAGTGAAGTCTTCCCTTTTGTGAGAATGAAGCCTTGGTGTATAGTTAAAATGTATGTTAAAATTGAAAAAGTTTAAATTTAAACCACTCTTTCCTGAATTTCTTGCTGGGATTAGCATTGCTTGAAGGGATATTTACGTGCAATTTGCAAGGCGTCTGATGTTCAGCTTTATTGCACCCCCCCTCCGGACAACAGATCTTATTTTTCTCCTGATCTTTTCCAGTGGAGTGAACACGTTCGCCATGCTGGCTGGCTGTCTACCTTTCACTGTGGAGCCATTCAATATTAAACTTCTCCTGAAAAAGATAAACAACCGGGAGATGGCAGAGATACCGACACATCTGTCAAATGGTGAGACACTTGTTTAAAAAAAAGATCAGTCTCAATTTGGCAACGCTTCGTTGAGTTCCGAAAAAATTGTTGAAACGTTGCCAAAAACCATCACAGTCGAAATTTGACAAAGGATGACTGAAATAATTTGGCGTTTAGCTATGTGTCTGAAGCTTAAACAACGATGTCAAGAATGTCGTTAATTTATTTTTTCAGGATTCGTTTCACTGAAACGACGTTTTAATACTTGTTAAACTCATAAGTCTCCATAAAAATTTCTTTTTAAGCGTGATGGAAAATAGTTTACTAGAGCAAGTCTTCTTGAAACTAGCACTGTTGAGTTTTGTGCTCTGTTTAAATAAACCGAACAAGCATAACATAATACATATATGATTTCTTTTAAAGGAATACTTTTCCCCAGTGTACAAACAGGCCATTTTGAATGGTTAAGTATTGCTGTGAATACAAAAGCATGTTATTTAAAATAGCGGCCCGTGTTTAGCTCGATCGGTTGTCTTAGCATAATCCACATGTACGAGAAACATAAGCGAGAACCAAATTTTCAAGTTTGCATCGCCCAAGACAAATTCTGTTGAGCTGTCTACTGCATGCCGGTATACGTCTGGTTCGAATCTGCCGGTTAACACCGACCGACTCAATGTTCGAGTGGTTAAAAACTGTCTGCACCACCGCGCAGGATGTCGTGGTTTCGAGGCATGGGAATCGCTTAGAAAGGGCCAAGTTCTATCGATAGGTGGGGGTGAAGCAGACCGATAAACCATCATCTGCTAATGGGAAGGGGCAAATGGTGTAAAATTAAAACGACCCACTTTTGATGTACAACAATTATTTGACAGTGCAGGACCGGTTTTGTTATTTTCTCCGATCCCAACCAGAATGTTGCCTTGTTTAGGCACATTACGCCTCTGCTTGCTGTATACATCATTGACGCCCAGTTTAAGGAAATAGCTGTAAACACCACCAGAAACCACTGTCCATGATGAGTAGCAGTCTTACAAGCGTGTGACCACAAATACTATAGCTACACTTCAAACTGAATCATAGATTAATTTTTTTTCAGTTAGGTTAGCACGTACACAGCCCCATAGCCTTATACTGCACAGTTTTATAAAGCAAAGTGAAGTCATTATAAACACATAAACACAGCTTCAGTAAAATAAACTTCAGCATTTAACGAGAAGAACCAGAGAATAAAAATTAGCTCTACTATTTTAATTAATGAGAATTTTTTTCATCCGTAAGATAGCATAGCCCAAGACCTACATTTAATACTTGGCATCAAAAGGCTCGTGAAGACGTGAATGTATTTGTGTTGGCCAGTTTAGTGAAAACTTGCACCTGGTAATTCCAAAGTGACCCAACCACTAACCTGTGCGCAGATATTACATGACAAAATGTCAGTTATGTTATCGTAACGATTTTAGTGTACAAGAACCCTCTCGTGTATTCTCATGCGTTGCTCTACCTTGAGCGATCTTGCCGCCTCAATAATTATCATTATCTTCAGGCAAACTTGAATTCTCAGTTCTGATTGGTCGATCCATTGCAACAAACAGTGTGATGTATAATGTACATATATTGACTGCTTCGAGTGGTATAGTAAAACTAACCTCCTGAGGTGATCCATGGAGCATTCTATTTTCCCAAGGCCAAGGGAAAATAGAATGCTCCATGGATCACCTCAGGAGGTTAGTTTTACTGTACCGCGAGATAAAGCAGTCAGTATTTGTTTTATAACACCTCCCCACAGATTCTGCAAAATTGAAGCTAAAAATCAATAATGAAACACCAAACTGGAATTTCCATTCATCAAATTTAATTCAAGAATTCCAAGTGGAACAGCAACGTTTGAATACATTCGTTCAATGTTGTTCGCTAAGAGTCGAAATACAGGCCTATGCTTTCGTTGCTACGGATATAATTCTTTGGTTGCTACGGGTATGGTTCTTTTTCAGAATGAGGCTGCGTGATATAATCTTTTTGAAGAGGTGGTATAAAAATAGTAAAACTAGCAAGCGTCACATGACACACTGTCGGCCAATCAAGACACAGAATCTGTGGGTGAGGTGTTTTAACAAAAATATAATAAATAATCAATGCTCTGAACTGTGTAACTGCCGAGCGTTCAGTAACTGGGTACCTTCGTCAGGGCAAGCAGATTCAGTAAAAAAAAACCTGTGTAATGCGCTGTTCTAACTCAACGCATTGTACAATATTTACGCACAGATCTGCAACACACAGAACGCGCCACACGCGCGTCGAGTCCATTATACAACTTTCTAAAGGATTATACCATAAAATGGACGGGGTGTTCAGGACAATGAAAGTAAAATTTTTAGAACATTGTCGTTGGAAATCCATCATTTGTTGACTTGTTTTGACTCTCTGAATAAAATGGTATTTCTGAATGGGAATAGCTACGTGCTTGGCCGGTTTTAAACTAAGGATTAATACCTTGCTCAGGAGAACGAACGCTGATAATGCCCTCGCCTGCGGCTTGGGCATTAGTCGTGTCCGTTCTCGTGAGCCGACCGGCCAAGCACATAATTCATTCCCTTAATAATGAACGTGAAAAAAAATACAGTAAGGAGACGAAGTGTCATAACTTAAGTGTGATCACCAGTTGCGTCAATCGTCTGAGATTTGGTTCTTCAATGTCCTTCCATATTTCCCGACGGCAAAATTGACAGCCTAGCTTTCTGCCCTCTTAAAAACTATGAACATCAATTCACTATTTCTGAATTCCTTGCTGTTTCACATTAGATTTCTTGTTAAGTTCCGAGTAAGTACGAAGACGAATGGATTCATAACCATTATCCTGACGTTAGCTTCATTTTAACTTCTTTATTTTTGTTTCAAAGACTGCAAAGATTTCATCAAGAAGCTCCTTCATCCGGACCCACGAATGCGGTACTCGGTCACTGAAACACTTAACCACCGCTGGCTTGCAGTAGAAAAAGACGCCCCTCACCGCCCCCGCACGGCAAGCCCGCCCCCCAATGGCAGAGTAAGTCGCATGGAACTAGAAACCGACATCCTAGAGTACATATGGAGCAACATGGGTTACAACATAAATCACGTGACCAACTCTGTCATCAGTAAAAGAGCTGATGAATATTCAGCTATTTACTACTTACTTCTCCGCAAACGCAATCGGCAGCACCTGAAGATGTTGAGGAAAATTCAAGTCGACGATGAGGAAGGAAAAAAAGATGCAAAAGATACTTGGATAAGTGGCCCTAAATTATATGAGGAGGCGGTAAGTGCAGTGTAGTGTTCATCATTTAATCTGCTCTCGGAAGAACGATAATTCTGTTCGTATGAAACTAATAAATGCGGACGTTGTGTGCTGCATGTGACAAATTATACTGCATGCTGTCAGGTACAGAGGTTGGAAATGCATTAGCTGTGCTACTCATTACATTATATTTAATTTAGGATGGGAGCACAAGAAACTTTAGGATGGGAGTACAAGAAACTTTCCAAAAGACCCACGATGTACGCACTCGTTTGATTTATATTTGGTTGTCTCATCAATTGGACATGCGATACTTGATCATAATCTGTAATTGAATGCACCTACTCCACCTGATCATGCGGTCATTCAACGTTCGCTTGATCAAGACTCGCCGTTCGCTAAATTGCATATTAGGCTTTATTAAAGTTACTGTGACGACAGCTTGAATTGACCTCTACGAAAATCTTTCCCTATTTTTCTTGCGCTCACGCAGGCTGCCGTGGAGCTTGCCGGTCGAAAAAACGGAAGTCTACATTTCCAAATGGCGCTCTTGTTGGAACAGGCAAAAGAAGAGGATGCCCCCACACGTCAGCGTAGCAACAATGAGAAGACGGAAGAGACACAAATCCATCCAAATGATTTGAAGTCTTCGGATGAACCAATGAAGAGTAAGAAATACGTGACGTCATTATCTGAGAATTACAAAGAGGGCACATTTTCGTCGTCAAAGGATAGCAACAAGCAAATGCGTGTTTTCCGAAAACAAGTTACAGGTACGACAAATCACAAAAAACACCAGAGATTGAGCTTTCAATCTGACACAGATAAATTGATCAAAACGAGCGCCAATTTTGCCCAGCAGATTCAAGAAGAATGCAAAGAAACATCCAATAAAGTACATGGGAAAAAATCAGACATGCGTCTTAATACCAGAGGCTTAGCCACGGGTCACAGACTCTCAACTGCTCACACAGTCAACTTGACATTCAAGCAGTCAGATATACCGTCAAAAAACTTCGCTGGTCACTTCAACTACCGCCGAGGAAACCGCCAGACGTTGGTTTTAGCACCAACCCGTATCGTAAATGAGGTATCTAACGGCAAAGTCGTAGACATTTCCACCTGGAAGCAAGCTGACTCTATTGATAAAGTGTATCTCAAAAATCACATGAACGGCTTGAGGATCTCTACAAAACTGGGTGAAAAAAGCAAAGACCACGAAATATGTGAAATCCAGCCATCTACACAAATTTATAAGGACACCATTCTCAAGCATGAAAATAACAGCGATACTCAGTATCCACTACCTAAGGATTTAAAGATTCTCGATGAGAGACGACAACTGAAGATTTCCAAACGAAAGAGCATCTATAACCCACCCATGGGTATAAGACGGTCCAGCAGGACTCGGAAGCGAGCCGGGAGTGATGCCAAGCTGGTGGCTAGGCTTCCAGGGAGGCCTCCGACTCCAGTGGCATCAGAATTCAAAGCAGAGACAAAACGAAAGGTCACAGAAGCTGTAACAAATGACAAAGAAAGACATTCCTGGGATAAAACCAGAGGTTCTAAACGTAAGAAATCCGTCTTTAGGAAAACGTACACTTTGAAAGAAGGTGATGGAGGTCATGAAAAGAGTGAAGTGGATCCCGCGGCCAATGAAGATTTGCAACTTGTTTCTCCCAAGCAAGCAGTGCTACAGGCCGCCACACCTCTGACGAAGAAGTTATCACAGAAAACACAGCCGCCTAAGGGGCGTTTGACAAACAAGAGAGTTGTTTGCAACGAGGTTACAGCCGAGACGCTTGTTTAATGTGATGCCCCTTTGATCTCGCTTATAAAACCGTCTCAGTGTTGTCACTTAAGGGAGCTACTCAATAAGAATTTCTCCAGTAGATAGTAGCTCCTCGAATGTTAATTGCATTGGATTTATTTCAAGTGCCTTTGCCGTGCCGATTGCAGTGTTTTAAAATGGACCAATTACCAATTGAAATGCAGTGCGCGTGCGAGTTCTCCCAGGTTCGACGCGTGGTTTACTATCTGGTGATCAAATTAGCGTTTGACTGTTGTGATAAGGCCTGTGTCCTGGCCTATTAAAACTCAAGTACACTATGCCATAGGGGTTTCATCCACATTGTTATTCAAACGTGGCTTGGTTGAGATATTTTGCTAACTGTTGGCCAGGCATCAGTTTTCATCCTGACGAGTTTTGTAGTCTGGCTCACGTCTGCGCCGGGACTCGCTACCGTTTCATTGCCGCGTTTCCTGTTCAATATTCCAGCTCTCATGATGCATGGCAAGTGCTAAATTCCCGCCGACCCGCGGGTAATCAAACCCCGTTCGTGTTCCTCCCGTTTACCAGCTTTCCCCTTGGTCGGCATAGTGTTTGTTTTTCGTGTGTGTTTAGTTACCGTACAATAATACACCCATGGCACTCATAATTCAGTCCATTTCGTGCTTCAAGACAAAATGTACTTCGTAGAAGTTCTTCTTTGCTTGAGTTACAGATTCAACAATGGTTCCCGCGTGGACCGACTGTAAAGGGCTACAAAAACACGTGGGTTATTTCAAGCTTTGTATCCAACCGTGGACAGCAAACGAAGATGCTTCAAATAATCATCAAATCATTGATGTTGGAAATGTTGCTTGAAATCCTTTTTATTACTTGCTGTAATTGAATACAGCCTATTAGTTAAAGTCTTTCAAGAATGTAATATTAAAACAGCAAGACTAAATCCCCTGGATACTCCCTTTCTAGCAAAACATCTGGCATAAAGATTTTAAGTCATATGTTTTGTAGCCAAGCATCATCATTGTGTTGTGTTAGAGATATTCTCTGGATAATGGCTGAGACGCGCACTGCAGTCGTGTACATGTGTTCTGGGCGTCATATATTGGTGTACATGTAATTTTCTTCCACAGTATTTTAAAGTTGCTAGGTCAGGAAAATGTATGAAACTGAAAGAACTCTGATTAAATTGGGAGTCCCAGCTAATTTTGAAACCAGAAAGTGCCTCTTACATCTGTATTTGCTAAACCCAAACAAAGTATACAAAACAGGCTTTGGGATTTTCAGCATTTTTATAAACTTCGCTTATAGCGCAACCTGTGGTGGGAATTTGGAGGATCCAACGGATGAGAAGCATTGGAGCAGTGAGAGAAGGGCAATGTATCTTCTTTGGGAACTCTTCCATCGGTCGTCTTTCCCAAAGCATGAAAAAGCCCTAGAATGTAGCCTCAACCCTCACAAGGCCATAAAATGTTGTAGAAAGATATTAAATTGTCAGTCCCTTCCCCCGAAAAAGTGGGTCGCCTAAAAAAGTGAGTTGTGTGAACTAGGACAGTTCCTTCCGTTATCCTGTTCATCGTTGATAGGGCAGAGTGTAGCCCATGGCGGACAGTTCCACTTGGAATCCATGATGCAGTTCATACAAGAAAATAAAGTGTGGCAATTTGTATTTCGGCGGCTTTGATCAATGAATAGAACACATTACTTATTTGACTTATTAAGATCCTGACATAGTGTCTCTGGAATACCGACATTTAGATGGAATGATGTCGTCATCCCGTGATAAATCAACTGGGGATGTCGACATCCTAGCTTATTTTATTAAAGGGTGACAGCATTGAAAGTAGGCTATCGACATCCCAAGATGGTTTATCATAGAATGACGTCATCCTGAGTGTAGGAAGTCGACTTAACGACATAGTTTACCATAGGATGATGACATCCGGAAAGAAGGAAGTCGACATCCCCAGCCAATTTATTATAGAATGACGTCATCCTGAGAGTAGGAAGTCGACTTAAAGAGGTAATTTACCATAGGATGATGACATCCGGAAAGATGGAAGTCGACATCCCCAGCCAATTTGTCATAGAATGACGTCATCCTGAATTCAGATGAGAACATCCTGAGGTAACTTATTACAGGAAGACAACACTGTAACATAATTGATCACGGAATAATGACGTTCTGCAAGTGGGATGTTGACACCCCTATATAGTATTTTACAAGGGTATTACAATACCTGAAAGTAAGTGACAAATTATCTCAGGAAGCTGTTATCTTGTTTAATTCAAGCTGTCGTCATCCTGTATCTCTTAATGTCGACTTCCGATTTTTAGGATGTCGTCATCTGTGATAAATCATCCAAACACGTCTCCATCCCGCCATAATTTAACTCAGGATGTCGACATCTTGCCTGTAATATGTCATCATCTTGAGATAAAACACGTCAGGATCTTAAAAGGTCGGATGTCACTTCAAGGGTTCCGTCCATATCTGATAAAAGAGAGGTCTACATTTTAAGTTTAAAAAGGAATAAAGAGAGAAACTTTGTAAAGTAATGAGATTTGAGATTTTATCGCATTCATGTGTCTTATTTATATTGGGTCACTCGTTACCTATTCACACTCTAATATTTCAGAGTACGATAAGGGATCTAACATGTCCGACTCACGAACTCGCCTGTACAACCATGTCCTTATTCCATTGAGGTGTGAACTGTCTCCCACACGCGCTGTACTTTCTTGGAGAGTGCAAGGTGCTCAAATCGTGCAGCTCGACACTTGCTTTCCGATTTGTTTGGCTTTGACACGTTCATGAAGGAAATAGTGTATTCCTCGCTCATCTTTGGTAAAATTATTTCGCTATGAATACCGTAGCTCATTTGTCATGCCGAAAATAGCATTAAGATTCCTGAAGAAATTCGAGTGGGCAATCTCAGAATCCAGGGTAGTTCGCGCAGAAACACTTTAAAATTCTAAAATTTAAATTTCGCCCAAAACAAATCTTGAATTGGTTATAGTGCATTTCCATGATTCAAATGGCTGATATCTCATTTTGAATGCATTTCATGAATTTCTCAAATCCACTGCATTGATACAAAACCCTTTTATGTGTAGACCCTTAACTGCCACAGTGAAGTGCCACCTTCTTGAAGCACCATGGAGGTATTATTTCAGCTGCCAAGTTGCCGTCTGTGACGTCATTTTGAGATTTAGATTGCCATATACGGTCAAGATAAAAACCGAGAGCTTTTGGGGAGAGAAAATCAATACAACATCTCGCTCACTCATTTTTTATCGAAACCCGAGGGGAGAAAAATGGCTGGCATTATAATTTGAACAAACATACATCAGGTGCCGTATTGTTACTACGTGACCCTGCGACGTTTGAGAAAGGAAGCTGGCCAATATTGCAATGTATTGCCTTATCTCGACGACAATAAATTCCGAATTCGAGGGGATATGGGAGGCGCTTTCATTGCGAGTGCGAGCACGAATTGCAAAGAAGAGGACAGGGAGGAAATCAGCCATTAATCTGGTCAGAAATACGTGGAAGTGAGGTAAACATAATTAAGTTTCCAACGAACGGAACCTAGAAGGAGGGATGATAAATTCTACTCGCTTTGTGGTGACAAGGAAACAAAAATAGGAATCATGCCTGAGACTAGATGAGACACGCTGTGGATGCTGAATAGTAGCGGTGGTGGTTGGGGAGCTTACAATGGCTGGAGAAACGAAAAGAACCAAGGGGGAAACTGTATGAGTTATTCTGAATTAAGGAACAAATTATAGCATGAGGTAGATTATGAGTGGCATGAAGATGCTGATAACAGAGCTGGATAGGTAGTGAAAGAGAAAGCCATTAGTCTAATGAATTTAGGATGGAAAAATTGGGCCATGCTCAAGAATACTGTCGCATAGGCTTTATATATTTTTAGCAATTGCATTGAATAAAAAATCATTTTCAGCAACGCTATATTAATTTCCGTCTCTCTGGACGATAGAAGTTGGTTACAATCGACATTGAAGTTTTGCATGATGAATTTCATAAAAGTCGCACCAAGATTAACCACGAGTACGTGACGTGGCATAATTTACATGAAATGAAAGGAAGTACAGCTATAAGGTAGAGGGAATCCATTGTCACAAAGAGGAACGAGAAATGATAACGCAGTATCAAGATCTGATAGGCGTCTTTGTGGGCAAACGAGCCAAGCGTAAAGTACCACATACTGCAAGAGTAAAATGTATTTGTCCTACTAATAGAGCCTGCAAGTTGACCCGTGATGGCGCACTTCCGGAACCCTTGGATAGGAAAGAAGACTTCCAAAATTTTAGAATTTAGAATATTTTTAAAAATCCAACTCGGAAAAAGGACTTTGGAAAATATTTTCAAGTATACCAATTTATAGAAACTATGTTGACTGATTTTCCTGTTGTTCAAAATTGACTACGGATTCAGTCAAACACCCACAATAAATCATGTTTTCTGACAAGATTTCTTATTCGATGCCTATGAAATTCGATGAAATGACTTTTAAAAAGAAATCTAGTCAGACTGACTAATTTCCAGTTGCACCCGGCTGACCCTGAAGAATTAGTCAAATTTTACTGAATTCTAGACAAATTTGACTGATCCTTTTTAGAATGTACATGATCTAAAAGAAAAATATCCTGCCAAAAATTGACATTTACTTCCAAAAACCTAAAATACATGAAGAACAGTGCAATGTGGCAGTCTCGTACTCAGAAGAACATTACTGTTTGAAATCCTATGGTAGTCTGGAGGTTAGAGTCAAAATAGAAACAGATAAAAATATATTACGTTGAAAAATCCTTAAAGTAGGCATCTACTTTTACGAAAAACTGTATGTAAACTTTATGAAAAACTTTTGCTGACAAGAACTGCGTCATTTCAACTCAACGGAATCTGGAACCCATCGACTGCAGGTAGGTAAATCTTTGCAATTTTGGACAATCTCGTTTTCACGTTCGCACGGCGAGTGAAAACAAACGTACATGAACAGGGAGACCTAGGTACAATGCCGCCAGAAGTGAAAGGGCGTTAATAAAATTCGTTTTTACCCATCTCCAGGTAACTTTTCCTAAATACATGTATTACCTGAGGAAAACAAAGGTAAAATTCCAACATGACTGTTTCACGGGGTTGCTTCAGTTAAAAATCTCATTCTTCCAAAAATTATCGAACGTGATTGCACGGCCCCATGTAAAATCCTCATAGGTGGAGCACGCGAGGGTGCCGGAAGTTCGCTGCGTGACCTTATACTTTCAGGTTCTAAATGCATAGACTAGCGATATCTGAGGCCAGTTAGGCAGACAGGGGTAGTTGCCTACACTGGCTGTGAAATAATGACGCCTGACTTGTCTGTTTGTTTTTTTCGTTTGTCCACCATGTGTATGAGCTGCCGTCGTTCAGGGTCGATTATAAATACGTATGAAGATCGAGACATGCTACTATTTATGAACCATCAGTCTGTCTTGGGAAATATAAGCTTGGTTTTTTTTGCCCATTTACCTTTACGAGCAGATTTCCAATCTACAATGATGAATTAACAATTCCAGAAATGATGAATGGGTAATTAATGTGACGTCACATCTGAACATCGCATAATACTGAAGAATGGCTAACACGACAACGTGATTTTCCTTTGAGGCGTGCATAGCCTAGTTTATTGCTGTCACTAACTGTCGCCAACCGGACTAATGATAAGCAAGATTGACTCTGGCCACGTCTGCTGAATTCACAAAGGGGACGGAAGATCAGATACAAGCTCTAATTAAAGGCTGATAAATCGATAAAATCTAATGGAAATTGTCTGCGGGAAATAGTGTAATTGGAAGCTACTTCGGGTTGAACAACGAAATATTTCATGAAAAAATTGAGCCTTTGGAAGATGTATCACCTGTAAAGACAGAAAGTTGAGACTTTTTGAAAACTAGACATCGATGGGTGCTAGCCAAACGTGAATACTTACCCATGATCTGTAGTGGAGCATGCAAAGTTATCAGTAAAAAAAAAGTGCCTATAATTGTAATTTGTATAGAGAACCAACCGCAGATTAATTAAACGTTATGAAAACTAACCTAGTGCACATGGATGGCAATTTAAGAGGATAATCGTTGGATTGAAATCTCAGATGAGTAAATATTGGTTTGAAAAACAGTGTTCAGATTTATTCTCCTGCGCTTACTGCAAGAAAAACAAAACAAAAAACAACAAAACAACTCCCCCAAACCAGAAACGAAAACACAGGTCCCCCTAAAAGAGAATTTGTTTTCAAGATCCTTTTTGTCATGAATTATTGAAGTCTGTGGCAAGTCCTCTCGAAATGTCGCCTTTGGTACGAATGATTACCCGTAAGTCAACATTCCTACCCGACCCTCTATGCTATATTTATTAGAAAATGACACATCTCGCACTTAAGGCGCTCCTGAGGACTTTAAGGGTGCCCAAAAGTAGGGTAAGTCAACACATGTTCGCGCTGAAATGCACTTATACGATTCTTCTGCTGTTGACTGAAATAATTGTCGATATACCACTTAGACCCAAGATCCGGTATCAGCTTGTGCTCCGTGTCACGGATTACAAATCCATCTATCGAATTGCAAGAATCAACTATACCAATGGCAGACAACCAGATTACCAAGAGATTCCAAGGGTTCAGTGGATTCCCAACGTGTAGAAACAAGTACACTGCCTATGCGTTCAACGTGGTACTTGGAGAACCATTTGCCAGCTCTGGAAAGTAAAATTATCTCTCCTTCAGTTCCCTTTTCATAACTGAGAAAAGTGCATACACAAAAACCTGCCATCTAAGAAGGTGTATTTATCAGAAAGATATGCAAGGCAGGTGAACTGAGCCGATTATCGATCCCTTCCTCGCCGTGCAGGTATGAAACCTTACAACTTCTCCAAGAGTTTCATTTTATATGTCCGTATGAAGCCCGCAGTTCATATAACGGTATGACCTATTTCCGTTTCGGCTCAATTTTTGGTAATTTTCGTCCTACTCTTCCGAAGTGTGAACGACCTGCAGCCTTTGAAGCTCAAGTTATTGCACTCAGGCGGAAAACCTCCTGGGTGAATTTTTTTCTGAGCAAAAGAAGTCTCGGTATGAAGTGAGGTACAAATGCAGTGCTGTGCAGTTACATAAAATCATCCACGCAGATTACTGACAGGAGCGCTGGCAACATATCTGCAGAGGTGAAGATACGTGAGCGTTGTTATATACGGAGTGCCTACGCGGCATTAATTCATAACCCTCACTGAAGTCCGAGACAAAACGAAAATCATCCAAGACTAATTACTTTCCTGCAAGACACAATTAAATCTATGCCAGATTAAAAAATGTTATACAAAACTCAACATTTTCATGCAAAACTAAACTTTCCATGCATAATTACATTTTTTTCATGCAAGACTCAAAATCTTTGGAAAAAAATCAAAATCTCACACAAGACTCAAATTTTCACGCAAGAGTATTTCTTTATGCAAGATAGTCATTTTTGAGCAAGATGTAAGTTTTCGTGCAAGACTCAAAATTTCGC